GAGGGAGATTGGGGAGAGAGTGGCTTGGGGGGATGGGGAGGATGGGGAGCGGAGGGAGGGAGAGTGGACAACAGAACACACCAGGGAGACAAGGGAGAGAGGAAGAAGGAGAAAAGGGAGAGGACAATGTCGGCGGACTGAGCCGGAGGCTCTAAAGTTTGTCTACCCAGAGACTCACAGACCTGCCAAAGAAGATGTGGCGCCCTCTTGGAAACATCGTGGTTTTAGGCCAATGACACGAAAACAACGTGTTTCCCTGAAAGCATGGTGTTTTCAGCACAATCAATACTTTAGTGGAGGATCCGATGACTCCCTTGGGTTGAAAGGAGAAAGGGAAAACCAACAAAAGGACAAGGGTCTGGAAATGCAACCCCCCCCCCCACTCTCATTGATATGGAGCTTCCATAACCCTTCCAGGGGGAAATGTACGGATCAATGTCGTCCCAAATTTGCTGCTTGCAGTATGGGTCATGGAGACTGCAGGTACCGCGACTCCTCAGGAATTGGACTCCCAAACACCGACACTTCTTGGCCCACATCTGTGGCTTCATACTTAGTTTATTCTTAAATTCAGTTGCCCTAAGGCCTAAGGACCCGGAAACATAAGGTTAACCTTTTGGGACCTTTACTCAAAAAAGAGACCAAACAGGGAAAACAATAAAAGGTGAGAAGGTCGGCTTTGGACAACTGAGCAAAACAAAACAATGGAGGGAACTCCTGACTTGGCCCTGCCTTTGCTTCGGGCTTTGCCCTTGCCTTTCCCTTGGCTTCCGCCTTGGCTTCTGCCTTGGCTCGGGCTTTTGCTTTGGCCTCCGCCTTGGAAGGACGTCTTCGGAGCAATCCAAGCAATACCTGGAATGGGATCACCTTAGAGTCTCCATACCCGTTAAGAATGGTCATTACCCAAAATTATGAGCTCATGACCCCTTTTTCTAGGGGTCATGGAGACTCCAGGCATGTACCCAAATTCAAGTGACATGACCCCCTTTTTGAAGGGTCACAACCAGACTCCAGGCTATAGACAGTTGTTTGGTCAGTTCGGCATCTGAGCAAGCAGGACCCAATGTCGGCACCTGGCCTTGGCTTCAGCTTTTGCCTTTGCCCTTGCCTTTGCTCCTGCTTTTGCCTCTGCCTGCGGTGACCAATCCATGCCAAACACGAGCACTATCGAGTCATCCAAACCCGGGCACTATTTGCGGTGACCGACCACTAATTACCCTCACCCCTTGCTCACGGGTGGAATCCTTAGATCAAGACTCCCTGGTTGGCATTTCCGCATGGAAGGACCTAAATCATTCGGGTACTGTTATACTGTACTAGACTTAATAGCTTATCACGGGGTCCAAACTGTTTGTGTTTCTGGGCTTGTCTCAAAATAGTGGGACCCTAAACCATGGCTGGTGTCCTGTTGGTTTCCCTTTAAAGCCAACATGGGGACCTAGAGAGGCACACCCACTTTTATTCTACTCTTTTATCGGGCTTTCAGGCCCAGGCAAATCCTTGTGATTTTTACTCGGTACATGCCTTTTGTACGCAGGGACTCTTTGGAGAGGCCCACCCGCTTCTTGTTCTTTTGGCCATGAATATGAACTCATCACAGTCAAGACTTTTTTGTCGGCCCCCAATGAAACCAGAGAGTGAAATTCGTCAAAGGGCCCACTTTTCCCCTTACTCAGCTTCGCCGCTTGCTCCCTTACTTTCAGACACATCCATTTGCTTACGCCCCCTGGAACAAAAACACAAGTAGCGGTAGTGTCCCTTCAAAACCAAAAAAGGGGAAAAAAGAAACATTGTGCATTTCAGCAAATCTCGGTTACTTTCTGCTCCCCTGCTAAAAGTTCAACTTTTGGTGGTGTAATTTGGAAAACCCAATAGTTAGCAAAAAGTTAAAGTCCTAACATCCAAGCAAAATGCACCAAAGGACAATCATATCCCCTAGCCATATTTTGAGGAGTCCCCAAATTTCGGCAGGACCCTTAGGGCAGTAGTGATAGATTGCCTTTGGAACCAAAATATTAAAAACCAAAAACATTTCAGCCAATGGAAGGGTGACTACACCCTTCCTAGGGGACACTTCCCCAGTCTTTCCGGGGATCCGAATCTTTCCAGAAAACTATCGGAACCCCAGGTTGGAAAGAGCGATCGTTTTTTTTTTAGAACGATGGTTGAAAAGAACTTAAACGGAATCAACCCCTAGACATATGGTATGTGTGTGTGTGTTGTCTGAGAGGTTCCCTTGCCAAGCACTGCATGTCGGAGATGGCTTCAGGCATTCCACAACGAAGCCTCCGGGTCTAGACCCCTAGAACCATGGGAAGAGCAAAATTTGGAGCCCAAAGGTTGACCCAGGACCCACTGCCTGGAGGTTCGGTTTTAATCAATCGAAACTAAAAAGGACACCTATGCCCCTTGCCGTCTTTCAACCTCGCCTTGGGCGCGGCCGAAGACGCCGCCGCCGACGTCGCCTCAATGGCCTTGCCGCGGGCCTCCACGGCGCCGTCCACCACACGGCCCCAGGTGGATGGCGAGGTGCCCGAGAGAAACCTCGGCAGAACCGGGCCATGTGATGGTCCTTTCCGGTTTCCTATGCGTTGCATGTACGTTTTTTTCTTGATTGTTTTTATTGTTGTTCCTATTTTTTTTGTTGGGGGGGGGGTGGTGCTGGTGGTGCTTTTATTGGTTTTCTGTGGGTTTTGTGTGGGTTTCCTATGTTTTGTTTGTGGATTTCGTGTGGTTGCCTATGGGTTTCCTGTTTGTTTCCTATGTGTCTTGGGAATATTGCTTGGCTTGGTTGTAAAGGGAAACCTTAGGTAAACGACTTACTTGGATGCTCAAGTTAGTAAGTAGGGTAAAACCATTGTTATATCTAGGGCAACTGGACTTGGTCCCATAAAGCCCCTTCCCACGGCTACAACCTACTTGGCCGAACACCCAAGTAACTTGGCGCCTCCAACGCCCGTCGGCCGTCGGACGGGACCCCATCCCGAACCGAACCGACCCGCTCGTCTCGTCACGGGCTCCAAAGCCGTCGGTCTGAAAAAAAAACTTTCCGTCGGAGCGGCCAAGTGATCTTGACGCCCTTCTTGGCCTTGGTCGCCCAGGCCGAGGCTTTGTCCTGGCGAAGCTTCGAAAACTTGGCGCGCGGATGGGGCGTTGAGACCCTCCATTTGCGAGTACGCGCCCTGGAAGAATTGAGCAAATATGTCCAGTAGTGATAGATTCCCTTTAAATCCAAGTGAAGAAATAACAAACATTCTTAAGCAAGTGGAAGAGACCCTTTGGTGGCATTCATTTAGGTGGGAATTCGGGTTGCGCATCCTTTAGGTTGCTGCAACGCTCTACAACAACAAAAGTAGACTTGTTGTGGGTCCAAGACAAAAAAAAAAAACGAGCTGTTTCATTCAAATGGCCATACTCCCCGGATTGGCGAGAAAGTAACAAAGGCACCAAAGTACCTGGAGTCCCCTTCAAACAGATGGGGTCGTATACTCTAAATTATGGGTCCTCTACCCATTTGCTTGGGGTCATGTAAAGGAATCCCCTTGAGATCTTTGTTTGGGCGAAAGGTTTCGCTTGCCATTGGAGGGGACCAAATCCTCTCAGAAACGCCCGGCTGGAATCTCCGGCTGGATTCCTGCTTGTTCCGTGAACAGAATCGCAGGCGTCCCATGGAACGGAAGACCTGGAAGGAATTTGGAGCCTTGCTCCCCAGAAAATGGTACTCTAGGCTTCAACCTGCATGAAACAAGTGGCCTTGCGACCCAATTTAGGTCGCAGTCTGAAAATCCTACCCCTGGCAATCAAGACATGGAGGATTGACAATGCAAAGGTCGTAGGGAAACCCCATGATGTTCAGTGTTCAAAGGTTACTGTCTCGTGTCTTCCGCCATCCCCAAGCAAGAATACAACCCCCTTGGCGGAAAATGGGTGCCTTTCCGTGGGAGCAAAGTTATTGATTCCCACTATACAGAATTCCTAGGACCCCGTTGTGCGTGTGTGTGAAATAAGTGTGTTTGTTTGGCAACAACTGCTTCTTCACGTCCCGCGGGCGCTTTTCAAAATGTGCGAGCGCTTTTTTGCGATCATGGAATCTCGGACAATTATGCAAAGCTTGCACTTATGAGTGTTTCGCGACAAAGCGGATTTTGCTGGTCAAAAAGCGGATGTTGCCAGTAAAAAAGCAGATTTTGCCGGTCAAAAAGTGGATTTGTCCTGCCATTTGAATACGCTGCCCACTCCAGGAAAACTATGGAAGGAAGCAAGGCTCCCAAAAAGCACTTTTGAATCGTATAAATGAATTGGGGTCAACATTAGCGGAAAGCACTTCCATGACAACCCGTCCTTATTCTGCTCCATCGCCTGAAATTTCGGGAACTTCACCTGGCCATGCAACACCTCCAGAACCGGAAGGAACAACATTTGATCTCTCGTGGCACTGAAAAACGCGAGATGAACCCTTCAAACTGGATTGGTTGTCCTTTTAAACCGTTGGATTCCAGTTAAACTCCCTTTAAAAGGGTACCATCAGCAAACAGACCCCCCATATCACAATACACTGCTGGCTACAAAGCCATCAGAGAACGGCTATACACTTGAACACAAACTGGTTGTGTTGCCATTTGCCGTCTGCCAGCGGGAAAAGACGCAGAAGTGATAGATTCCCCTTCCAGCCAACAAGGAAAATAGGCAATATTCTGAAACGCAAGTGGACGTGCGTGTTTCACCTGTAGCAAAAAGAAAAAAACACCATGGCAAAAAAACAAAAAAAAAACACACACACACACACACTGGGACCGCCGCAGCACCCTAAAGAAGTCTAGCCGTATTTTGCATGTCCACATATTTCAATAAAGTGGGGCAAACCCCCTTGACAATTGGTGGTTTCTACTAGAATCGATGGGTGAAAGGTGAACCAATGGGGAATCAATTGTTTTTCTCAAACAATGGCCCCAGCGTTGAACCCTCATGACATTGGACGATGACAATCCTGAACGGGAAACCATGGGCGGTTGTACAAACTCCCCGTGGTTTTCCATGGGCGCCTGGCATCGGGAAGGTTTTAATTTTTGTTGGTACCAAAAGTCCCCACATGGCTCGGTGGTCATCTTTTTCTCTCTCCCTTCGGCTGCCCGAAACAGAGCCATGAGTCAACTGTAGCCTATGAGGAAATGTAGCGGGTACCAAACATCCTGGAACCACTGCGGGATTGGATCGTCTATCCCTCTGGGGAGGTGGAGGCTCTTCGAGCGAACCAAACAAAAAGCGGTGTCCTTTCGGTGTCCCTTTGACAAAACGGGGTTCCCTAAACAAAAACTATACGTGTATATATATATATATATATGGTTTCCCTCTAACCACCAACCAACAGGGGGTTCCCTAAGCAAAAACAACCATAAATGAATGTATGTCTCGAGGTAATTTTGTGGGGCCCTGCGTGTTGTGTCAAGACTCACCCAACACCAAGGAAAGGCCCCAGTCCCAAAAACAGGGTCGCCCTTCTCTAGGATTGTTTTATCCAGCACTCCATGGGATACGGGTGGCTTGTTTGAGGGCACCGTTTTGTTGCCTTGAAGGGACACCATTGTGGTTCCCCCAATTTTGAGACAGACTACCATGTCCTTTACAACACTACTGGTAGCTCTGAAAGGTTCCCTCTTTACAAGCAAATCTGGATACCCCCAGCTTCCGGACTCGTCCGGCTCCCTTCCTACTGTGGATGGACGAAATCCTGCACCGCTTTGAAACCACGGGGAACCATTGTTTGCTTGGTATTTACAAGGGAATCATCATTCCAGGGTTTCTTAGGTGGTGCGAAATGGATTTCGTCCATCCACAGTAGCGCCATATTTTTCAGGCGTGGCACAGCCCGGCATCCGTTCTTGGACTTGGCGACTTCCAGCTTCGTGCCATCTTCCAGCTTCACCTCGGGCGAGGGCAACCCATCTTCCGAGCCCGGTGCTCAAACCAAAATCGGGGTTCCCCCCATACACTGCTTGCCAAGCTTTACCCTCTGGCAACAAACGGCGCTTCTTGCAGCAACCTATGTACTAAATATAAGCGGAACAACAAACACCAGCAATAGTGAAGGTCCACTGGCCCTAACAATTGCAAGTTCTGCCACAGCTTGAGGGTTCAAGCCAAGGGTTGGGTCCTACCCGGTCTCATAATGGGGGTTGAACCTGGTGTCCTCTTCCTCCATTTGCTTAAGTCCCCTGGACTTAAAAAAGCATAAATCCAGGAGTGATTGATTCCCTGTAAAACCAACAGGAAGAAAAGAACCTTAACCAAATGGCTGTGGGTCAAAACCAATGGTACCATTTTGGGGTAGCTGCACCACCCATTTTAGTCAATTTTAGTGGGGATTGGGATGTTCACTGGGGGTGCGGGCTTTTGACCCATGGCCAAATGGACGTCTTGGTTTCCTTTTTAGCTACCAAAAAGAAAGCTTTGGCTTGCGGAAGGTCACCCGGTCGAAATCTGCGATAAGTGGACCATCCCTTTGTCACTGTTTTTTTGTCCACCAAAAGGAAGCTCACTTTGAAGCTGCAACTGGTATAGTCATTTGAAGGCCAGGCCTGAAATACAAGTCGAATTTTCGCAACACATCATGGGTTGTCTCTCGACTAAAACAGCTCCCCAAAGGAGTCGGCCGTAGAAGTGGCAACAAGGTGATTGCTGTCGTTCTGTGTTTACCTGGAGTCTCCATGACCCTTGAAAAAATGGGTCAACGACCCCATGTTTTGCATGATGACCAACCTTTTTTTTCAGGGTCAGAAGGAGACTCCAGCTAAAATGTTTTCCCCCACCCGGTTTTTGCCCTGTTGCGCGTTCCAAACCGAAACAGGCGCCTCCTTCTTGCCCTCATGGATGGCCCGGTGGGCAGCTAGGGCGTCGGTTTCACTGATCATGGCGCCAGAAGCGCTTGCGCTCGGCAGCTTTCAATGAATAAGCCTTCACTGCAGGACGCAGGGTTGCTTTTTGTTTGCCCTTGCAACCAGGTGTGGTCCTAGACAAACACGTGCTCAACCACCATGTATAGAAAGTTGGCGGGTATAGAAAAGGACAAGCAAGTTAGTATGACTGCACCAGGTCTGAAGAAATCTCCATTGGGCATTCAAATGGCACCCTCTGCACGCTTCTTGGTGACTTTCTATTCATCATGCCATGGACTTGGCTGCATGTCTGGAAAAGCTGGGGAAATATCTCTGAATTCTGGTGCATATCATTTGAAGCATCGCTGGGAACACATTGAGGATGGCTTAAGGGGTTCTGAGGGGTTCTGAATGCCAACCAGTCGTGGCACACAGCCAGGTTTTGTTGAAGAATTAGGCGCAATGCTCATGGAGGCGTCATAAGCTCTTGAGGCGGCGCTTTACTCCGGAACTGCGTTTTACTGAAAAGTACTGATTCTAAAACCGGTCAAGCCAGAAAGTCCCCAATCCTAGCAAGCAATCCCCACACACAAACACCCACACGTGCACACTGCGCGTGCGCACACACACACACACACACACACACACACACACACACACACACACACACACAAACACACACTTTTTTCTTTGGCATATACACAAACGCAACAAAAAACATTGAACATGGCATCGAGACCTATTGTCGAGCAGAATCTATCAACCACCTCCAACTCGCAAAAGCGAAGTTGCTCAGTGATCCTAAACATGGCAGTTGCTCAGTGATACTGGTAGACAAAGGACCCTGCTTCCCGAATCTTGTGGGGGCTTTCCACCGGAAAAGGTTCGGGCTCTCTACTTTAAGCCCAAATGCTCAGCTCCCCTGGTAGTTTGTGGGTTGGAGGTCGGGGTGGTCTTCTGGGTTACCAATTCTCGCGCTGCCTGAGCCTCGTCCCTTGGTACCCTCTACGTACTGACGTCATGATGGGTCAAAGTACTTCAAGAGTAAGTACCAAGGGGAGCCGCTCCGAAAAAGAGTCCCTAGTATCTCATAGTTGCGGACTTGAGGAATATGTAGCTGACGAATTCCAGAAAAAAACAACCCCAAACCCGTAAATATGAGGCACCCTTTGGGACCCTCTGGGACTGCAATCTGCAACTTTTTGCGTGGCGGACGCGCGCGATCCTAACGCAAGCCGATGTGCTGCTCAGAGCACCGGTCTTACCTCGGCCATGCCGCAAACAAAAAAAGCACGATCTCTGTGTGTGTGTCTCTGAAGGAAGCCTAACCAGGGTTGAATTCGCTGCCACAAACTCAGAGTTAGGCAGCAAATATCCTGCCCAACCTCCAACCCCAACCGTGTATTTGTAGCTTTTCCCCTGCGTAAAAGCAGGGGGCTCGCTGCCGTTTGTTTTTCTCAACGACACGGTCAGACCAGACGAGGCCGCCGCATCTGCTCTCCCAGGGCGCCCTCGAGGGCCCCAGAGAGACCTTACGCCTCAGCTGGCTTGGCTCGGGTGCGAAATCAGCTCCGCTACAAGTGGCTCACTTTTTTAGTGGTTTAATGGGCTGTGGCTCAAAAAACCGGAATTCCAAAATGGGTTACCCTGGTAAGTGGAAACATGGACCAAAACCTGCGGTTTGCCCCTCCTGTGTAATTTTGAGCCAAACCCAATGGAAACCCCATTAGCTGGCCAAAAGTTACAAGTCCTAACATCCCTTGGCAAATGCACCAAAGCTGGGAGGAACCCGAATCTCGAAATTGTTCATCCCCCATTAAGAGAATTGCCTGGGGACCCAATTTAGATGAGAAGTTAATCCTGAACTGTATGGTGATGATATTCACCCAACTATTGTTGTATTGGTGGCCTGCCTGACCCGGGGAACGACTGGTTGAAACAACCGAAGGTTGTAGAAGTAATCTGCCCCAGATTATTGTCAAGTATACTATTCTGGTAGGGGTCAGTCAAATTATGGCCAAAGCGGTTTATGTAAACAAGGGTGCCCAAAATGGTGATGTTTCTCTTTGTTCCCCTTTAACCTCACGCTAAACAGGGCAGGCTCAAAAACATATCCATATCAATCTCTCCACGTCCCCCTGGAGTCTCCATGACCCTTTTAAAATAGGTCCACGACCAACCATTATTGTGGGTAATGACCAACCATTTTCCAAGGGTCCTTAGGGAGACTCTAGGCCTCTGTTTCTCTCAAAACGGACGTGCAAATCTCACTCTCTCTCTCTCTCTCTCTCTCTCTCATGAACCTGGCCAAAAATGGACCCAGCGAAATCGCCAGAAGAAAATGCTCAGGAAATGGACCCATAAGTTTGGGTGCTCCTAAATGAGTGCTGGCATTTTTTCGCGGACACTTCCCCTGACTGTGCTGTGGTACCTGGAACAGGTTTGCTAGAACCCGTTGAGGGTCCCATTGTAATCGCATGGGATTTCATGTTGGAGTGGCTGGTTTCCAACTCACCCGCGCGGTCCCTTGAAACCTCCCAATCCTCAGCTTCCCGATGGTTTGGCGGTTTGGTTTGGCGTTCTGGGGCGAGTTCCCATGAAGGCCTCTACGGGAAACTAGGGGTTCAAATCCCCAAACCACCTAACAAAACCATCCTGTTTAGGGGGTTACTTGAGATTTCAGGCATCAAATGACCCCGTCCAGGGCACCTCTTGCTGGGTGAGCCACGAGAGGTACATGGCACCAAGAAAGGGGCTCATGCCAGACATCCCTTGCTGTTCTTTTTGCCTTGCTGCGCGTACCAAGGGAAACCAAATGGACAACCAATTCACCCATTGGCTCGGGTATTTCTATTTGAGTGTGTCCCCCAAAAGGCGGGGGGGGGTTCAATTTGTCCGTTGAAACCAGCTGCAGAAAGGGTTCCCACGAAAATGACAGACACTTTGAAACATATCCTATCCCTCCTGCCTTACGGGGGAGGTGGGTGGAGGGTCCCCCAATTCCATTTATCTAGTCTAAGTTAGAAAGAAACCATCAATGGAACTCCCGGGGTCACCCCGTCCCCAATTCCATGTTATAAGGGGGTGGGGGTATTTATGTATAGATATATATATATATACATAATATGCATATATATATATATATATATCGGGGGGGGGGGATAGGATACCATTGCGGGTGGGGGGGGGGGGCTAGAAAGACCAGTGACCGGGTCATATACGCCTTTGCCTCCATTTGCTTAAGTCCCCTGCAAAAAATGAATCAATGTCCAGTTGTTCCAGATTCCTGTTCAAGACAACGGAGGAGCATTCAGCCAATGGATGTGTTGGTCTCAGCGAAGGGAAGGTCAACGAACGACGCTTCGGCCTTCTCCAACGGCACCTTGCCATCCTGCGATGCCGGAGGTTCGGCGGCCGACTGACTGCTTTTCCAATTCCCTGACCCCATCGACTGAAGTTCCTATCGAGTGGATTGGCCATGGCTAATAAGGTAGTTTCTAGGGCTTAGGCAGGTTGTAAGGGTACTGAACCGTGGTTATATTTTACTTATATACTTGACTTGAACATCCACAGTAACCCCTTCCTGAGTCGATTGGCCCAGACAAGCCCACACTTGGTTGTTTGCCTCTAACATGGTCTTCCTCAAGAGTACTTGGGTAAGGTTCCTGTTCTGAAGTTGGTATCCTCTTTCGGGTTGGTCTTAAAGCGAAACAACAAGGAAACCGCAAATTTTGGGGGTACCCCCTTTAGAGATAAACCCATTTACAGTAGTGTTTTTGGTTGGTTCTTTCTGGATTTCGTCAAATATCCTCAAATGATTTCGGTACTAAGGGGGCCTTTTTGCAATGATGGGTCGGTAGCTTGGCGCTTAAACGGTTGGAAGGCATATAGACTTTCATGATGTGCACCGGTTTACCAAACTGGGCTGTCCGTTTTCAGATCCCTTGCTAAAAGTGAAACTTTTAAATAAAACTATGCCAATACATGCAATTATGGACACACTAAACACATTAAGGTCGAATACACAAGCTAAGGCAACAGCTAATATGGATGCAATCAGCAAGGCAAGTAGATCTTTAGCAAATGAAATGGAACCTACCACTAAACTGGACGATTCGCTGGGGGGTTCCCCCCAAGCCTCGTGGGTTTCCGGCCAATCGCAACGAGCCAAGCCCGAAAAAAAAAAAAGAAGCTCCCTCGACGTGAGTCGCGTGAGTCGCGCGAGCGGGCGGCCGGGCCCCTGGGCCTTGGTCTTCTGCTCCCCGAGGAATTTGATGACCTGCTCCAGGTTCTCAATCCACTGCGACAGCCTGGGGCTTGGCATCGCTTTCAGCAGGACGAAGCGTCACTCAGTCACGAAAACACTCGGAAAAACAAGTGAAGTCAGTGAAGCCGCGGGAGTTTGTTTCCGGACGGGCGTCTCTGAAGAGAAGGACCCACGTCACTCAGCCCACAAAAACCTCGGGGGGGGGGGGAAGCCTGCAACCCTGAGGCTTCCAAGGCTTTCTCTGAAGCCGGGGGAGAGAAGCAGTCACTAAAAAAAACTCGAAAAGGAGCCCGTAAAAGGAGCTTGGCCGAACTGTCTATACACGAGAGTCTTTCAGCCTTCCAGCTGTTGTATGTCTTACTAACCTCCCAGAGTCCTCCCGTCCTGGGGGAAATTATAAGACGTATTCTGAAGCAAGTCAGAAGGTATACAAGGAACCAAGGGGAAACATGCGGAAACACGTGGCGCTGAAACACAAACGGGTAGCGTGCAACAATACGGTGGATGCAACTGCCATACTGCAACTAAGGAAACAAGAAACCCGATTGTCTAACTTACCGTAATCTACCATGGTTTCGCCTTTCTTTCTTTTTTTATGGCTGGTTCACTCGCAGTATTGAGTTGTGGTTCTCGGAACTTGCCAGTCTTGCAGACTTTCCATAGTCTTTCCATTGGGAAAAACTTCCCGTGTAGCTTGCAGTGCCCAAAGGGAGCCCGACAGGGGCCAAGTGCGTGTCCCAAAGATGCTCACATTTGGCTCCCAGAGTATCGATCCCACCGGTTTTAATAGAAAGGCCAAACATGAATTGACAAAATGGAGAAGAACCGTGGATGGAGGAACTCCTGCACCACTCAAGAAACGCTGGAATGATTCGATTCCCCTGAAAATACCAACCAACAATGGGTGCGAACAAATTGCGTCCATCCTCAGTAATTAGCTACACCCACGCATCCGAAAATTCATCGCAGGCGCTTGGAGTCAAGAAAGTTCCATTCTTCCTTCTCGAACTTTCGCAGGAAGGCCGACTTGACCAGCACCTGTATGCCGAAATTGGGCGGCCGCGTTTGGCTGGGATTCAGGGTAAGCCACAAGGACACCAAACAATGCGAGGTATTTTGATTGAAACACAGATCTTCATCCAATGACTTCATAATTTGTGTTTGCGGTGTCCAAAACCCATTCTACAACTAGGTCCTCCAGTAGAGAGGTTAGAATAAGGGTACCTTTTTTGTTCTGTAGTCTATTTTCGTAGGGGAACCCTCCCAAAAAAGGGGTGAGAAAGGGCACTTTTGGGGGGACCTAGCCATTCGACAAAGATTTGGGTCTTCGTCGCTTGGCGCAATGCGCACCATAGCCGAGTTTCTCATTGCCCCACCATCATCCCAGTTCTTCTGTGAGCTTGCCATGATGAGGGCCCAGGTGTCTTGGGTCAACCTCTTGGACAAAACTTGACCCCTGCATTCACTGAAAAAAAGCCGCTTTATTGAACATATTGGGCCTCTAAAATGATTCACACAAAAATGTGGGATCAGCAACTCAGCTAGGATAGGATGTCTCTCAAAATCAGGTGTCCCTTTGAACACGGTGTTCAAAGCCCAAAGGATCCAAGCACTCTATATTCCTGGTTTTGGGGTTTGGCTCGAGGGAATTCGTGAAATATAAATTGCAAACATCTTGGTTGCTGTTGACCCCTCTGCAACAAGTTTTTAACTGTTTGTGGGTTTAGTGGAAAACCCAACTTGAATTCCCAAAAAGTTAAAGTCTAGAGATTCAACCCAATGGCAGTGAAAACATCAGGTACTTGGACCCTCTCGGAAAAGAAGAGACCAACCTGGGCCGATCCTTGCGGTTCAGCTGGTCGATGCGGGCATCGATGACCCCCTCGGAGATGGCACGTACCACCCACGGCTCCACACCACTGGGGCTCTCCTAGCGAAGAGATCAGATGTTCTGGCTCCAAACAAGGGGGCCGCTGCTTTCTTCTTGGAAGGACATCTACAATTTGTGTTGTTGATTGTTCCTTTTTTTGGGGGGGCGGGCCAAAAGGACTTGTTTCTCCAAAAGGAAACTTAGGTCTGTTCTTCTTTCATTTTTTGGGGGGCACCAAAAGGACACCTACTTGGGCAAGTGCCTCAAATGACATCCTAGTATTCCTGGACCCCCCAATGGCTGTCAAAAGGTGTGTAACTGACCTTCTTTGCTACACGCGGGGCCTATTTGACAGAAATCGGGTGGTCCTGGTTTTTGCAAAACTTGACATACGGAATCCCCAAGTAAGGGAATTGCATCATGGCCGAGGCCGGATCAGTGGGGGTCATTGTTGCTGGAATTCTCTCAACATGGCGACCAAAAGCTACCCATTCTGTGCTGATCTTTGTTTTGTTCGTGTTCCTTCTCTTATTATTATCATTATTTGCTTTTTTGGGGGATGCGCAAATGTCATATTGGCGGCACACGGCCATGTGTTGCCACAAGTTCTACAGATTAACCGTCGGACCATGAAATGGAAAGCAATCAACCTTGTCGCTCGTCATCCATTTCCTGGGATTCAAACAATCAGTCAAAGCCATGAACATTAATACCACCACCACGGTTTACCTGAGTTTTACAATCTAAATTGGATCCTTGTCATTTTTTTGATTGGAATCAGTTGAACCATATGTCATCGAAATCAACACAGGATACTCGCCCAACAACAAGGATGATGATTTCCCGTACAATTCCCCTTTGGGCAGGTTTCTTAGCTTCACAACCCTTGGAACGGTCGCACAAAGCTTTGTTTTCTTAGCCCCCTAGCAAAAACGAACAGAACCAAATTAAACAACAAAAAACACAAAACACATGCCAATAACAGTTAAATTAGACTATGGCATACGGTTTTCTTCCGGTCCCGGGTCGCATTGTCGCTCCTGGATCTGCTTTGCGATCTCATCGAGAGGCAGCTCAGACCTTGGGGTCCCGTTGAAACTTGCTTCAATTGAAATGGATGGGTCGGGGAAACAACCATGTATATACGTAACTATAACTACATATATAACTATGCATATATATATATATATATATATTTGTGGAAACTAAACAATCAATGCCAAGACATTGCTGTAAGAAAGACATGTTGTCAACTGTTTTCGGATCCCCCACGTTGCGCTCCTACATGGTGCACAGGCGCCCCTTCCCAGAAGATAGAAAAAAAAGGAGAATAGCATGTCTGTGCACTTCTGTTGGTGGAAGGGTACTTGGATGTTCGATCCGCCAAGTTAGTATGTGGCTGTCCATCTGGGTTGTAATCCACTACCAACAAGGTCAACTCCACTTTGGGGGGGGCCACAAGCGGGTTGTAGCTTAGTTAGGATACTGACCACTTATCACCTTGGCCGCGCAACTAGTTGTCTTGCCCGGAAGGTTTGGAACGGGGCCCGAAACAAAACTGCAGCGAGGGGCTCTACCACTGTGTGGAGTTGAGTTTTTGTAGCCAGGAAGGTGAAAGGCTTAACGGGGGGCCAAACAAAGCAATACCCATCGCTGTTTGTTTCTTGGAAACATCCAGTAACATATTAGCCGTGGTCCAAAAAACTGTAGCAACATGGCCTCTTTGTAAATGGAACCAAAGACTAAAACCTGTGCAACCCTTGCTTTTTGAATTGAGCCGCACCCATAATATGGGTTTGTCTCAACATGAGGGGACCCAAAAAATGGTTGCTTTCCTGTTGTCCTGTTGAACCAACCAAAAGGGGGTGCCCCGAAAAAAAGACACACCCATGTAGGTGTTTTTTGTGGTCTTCGCGAGCTTCACGGAAAGCTGCATCTCTGAGCAGCCGGCTGTCCTCGCGACATGGTCGCCAAGGTCAAGAGCCGAATCTTGGCCATCGCATCCTTGCGACCGGTCTGCGCGCAAGTGACTAAGTGGCTGGCGTTCGGTGCGAGAGATGCGGGGAATGAGACAGGGAGTCTGACCACCAGAAAAACAATCCAACTGGTGGGTTCCAAAGCCTGGGGCATTCCCATACTTCCTACCTATCGCACCAGCAAGGTGGCGATTGCCCGTGAAGAAAGGCAAACACTTCTCACTTCCGATCAAGTGGATTGGCCAAAAATCCAAACTCTTTACCCGCATGGACATCCTAGTGCACGATGCATCCTTTTGGGCAATGGACTCAAAACGGTCTTCCACAAAGGTGATGAAAGGCCCCGGAGTGAGACTTTACATTGATTGCTTGCTTGCTTCACTGGCCTCTCACACTCATTCGCGGCTGGGGCTTGGAATCCATTGTTGTTGCACAAACAACAACAGCCGGTCTTGTGTGTGTCCGTCTGAGCATCCTGAGGAACCGTTTTTGTCGGCGAGTGGCAAAATACATTCAAGTTCCCACAAGTTTACAAGCCTCTCAGCCACCATATCATGTTCCTCGAGGGACCCTCTGGCAGCTTGCATGTCAATGGAGGCTCAAGGCTCAAGATCCAAGCCTTTTTTGTGGGGACCCTCAAAAGTCCGGCTTGCTAGTTTTGGTTTACAGCCGCTTTGAAGCCACCAACAAAAGGGTACCCTCAAAACAAGACACGCCCAAATCGCAATCTCGGCCCCTTCTTCAAAACCACCAAACAGGAAACAAGACACCCTCTGTTGCAGTAGCTTGTTTTGCCATGACTTCTATGTGAGGGAGCCACCTTAAGGATGGGCGTTGCTCCAGTCATGGAATTAGACCTGGGCTTCCCCATTTTGGTGTCCACTACAAACATGTACACGCATATATCTGAATTTGGCTCCTTTGGGGTCGTGAAGCAAAGACATGCTACTTGCCCCCAGCGATTCTATGGAAGCTGGGCGAGCCTCTTGCAGTAAGCAACTGGTCTACTTCAGATCCCCTGCTAAAAGTGTTTAGTTTTTGGTGGCTTAGGTCATGTTAAATGGAACCCCCGCTCCCCACCACTAAGCCCAAAAAACCTAAGAACTTCAGCGGACGGGCTGGGAACCGCCAAGAAAACCCATGGTAACTCAGAGCATCGGTTTCCTAAAAATCGAGGCATCCGTACCGCTCTCGGGACCGAGCCAGGAATATGGGATTTGAGAGCAGGCGTTTTTGAGCTTTGCGGCCTTTCTCATAAACTGCTTGAGGGGGGCGACCTGGGGAGGGGGGGGGGGTGGAAATCCCTTTTCAGCCCCTTAATGAGGCCTTCTTAAAGGCTTGTCAACTTGGCTGGGGCTTATCCAGGGATGGCCCCACCCCCCATGGCCCCCAATACAAAGGTCCATGATCTTCGGTCCTGGAAGCTCAGACCGTGCTCCTCAAAGCACTTCTCGTTCTTCTTGTGGAAGTCCTGGCGACGGGCATGGCGACCCATTCTTTGACCAAGGTTGCACCTGGCAACTCATGACTTCACCATACAGCCCGCCCCCTCCCCCCCAAAACGAAAACAACAACTCAAGGAGGCTCCAGGGAAAAAAACAATAAGCAAAGCGTGGTTCTGACCTTGATATCCCAAATCTATTGTAAGATTGCATAAGCCCGCGGTAGCCCCTGTTTTCCTTCGGTATCGTACATAAACCTACCGCAAGTTGGGTATGTGTCAAAAGAGGGGACCCCGAAATGGCGGCTTTCCATTCTGGTGTTCCCTTTTAGCCATCCTCTATCGAGGGTTCTCAAAACTGGGCTGTGCTCAGATCCCTGAGTGTAACTTTAGTGAGCTAAATGGAGACCCCCGCTAAACACTGAAAACCTCAGTGGCTGGCCGGGAAGCACCAAGAACCAAAAGGGAGTCCATTTTGAGAAACCTCCATCTAGCTGGTCTGCATGTCTTTCCCTAAACAGGGTCCATAGGGGTCCGCACTGGCCGACGAAATCTTCAGACAGGCATACAAGGACAAACAAGACACGGCCAATTAAACTAAAGAGCAACGAAGTCCTGCAACGTCAGGGGCTGATCATGAACAACTATATTGCTTTTCGAGCACAGCAACACCGACCTACTTATTAACACCCTTAGCTCACTTCCTGCGTAAATTCGCAACAAAAATACGAGCCATTGCCACTTACATGATCTTCTCAAAATCCGGCAAACTTCGAGTCTGCGGGCCAATGGAAGGATCAGGGTACAGCGATTTCATGGGGTGTCTCCCACCCCCTTGCAGAGACTCGAAAACTTCCATGGAACCTGGACCCCCCAATGGACCGCTCCATTTCTGCCGAAACGGCCCAACAACAACGTCTTGAAAGCAGAAACACGGAGTCAGCAACCTCCATTTGCGGATAGGTCCCAGCCTGGCAAAAAGCAAAACCCCGTTGCCGGTAAGTGATAGACTCTCTTTTAATCCAACAGACGCGAGATGTGCTTATTAGACCTAAGCGAATGGAAGAAAAAAGGGGCCCAAGAACAGGGATCCTGACATGAAAAACACCCGATCGAACCTTGCAACTGAAGCAAATGGTGGTGTCCAACTTTATGGTTGGTGTTGAGAAAAGGCCGGCAACATGTTTCAAATGGTTGGGCAAAATGGAGATTTCTTTTAAGGAGCCCTGTCAAAGTCAACCGGCTGCCGCTACATGGGCCATGTGGCACCGAGCCCTGAAGAAATTTCCAGGCAGACCCTTCCGAAGCCACAGGTTTGGTCCTTGAGGTCATCTACGGCCCCGAACCTCAGCGCGACGAGAGATGGTGGTGGATGACAAGGTCTGCAAAATGTGAAGTCACTGCGAAGTCAAAACAATCCAAACGCTAAGAATCGGATCTCCAAAAACAGGGCCCAACTGTGTCACCCTATCAATAGGGGTGCATTCCTGGGATCCATAGATCTCTGCATAAAAAAATAAATAAAAATCCAAAGGCTGATTTAAGAATCGGATGCCCAAGTAAACGGCCTCTAAGTCATGGCTCTTGCTCGTGATACCGCCCCTATGAACATAGGCAGAATGGTCCTTGGGGAAGACCACGAAAAACAGGGTATTTCCCCAATGGGCAAAGTTGTCCACGGTCGAAACGGGGGGCCAAAGGGGATATTGAGCAACCCCGCATATCTAGGTCCTCCAGTAGAGAGGTTAGAATAAAGGTACCCTGTTTTCTGTAGTCGATTTTGGTAGGGGAACCCTCCCCCAAAAAGTTGGTAAAACGGCACTACTGGGGGACCTAGATATAATCCCAAAGGGTCCCTTGGTGACGAAATAATCTACGGATTCTGAGCTAAATCTGTTGAGAAATTCCAACTTGAGCCAAGCCAAAAACCGTAGCTATGAGGTACCGAGGCTCCTTCTGGGAATGGGCACTTGGATGTTTGATGCGCCAAGTTGAAAAGTGGTTGGCCACCTGTGTTATAACCCGCTAATATCAAGATCAACTCCACTCAAGGGCCCTACAAGCGGGTTGTAGCTTGATTAGGTTCTGACCACTTACTACCTGAGTTGGGTCCTGGCCGGTTAACTCCACCCGGGGGGATTTGGATGATGACAACCTGGGTAAACAATGGAGGTGAAATATGAACCCAAGCATGTGGTCAGATAATATGAGCATCCATTTGGTGGTCGGATAATATAAACCCAATCATGTAGTTAGATGAAACCCAGCCCTTGTCTTACTGGTGGCTTGCCTGAACCCCTGGGCACTGCTCCCGTCGCTATGCCATGGCCACGCTCTGCCGTGGCCTCGCGGCTTCGCGCGCGCCTGGCGCGCGATTCGCCGCGCTGAGATCCCCGCAGGAAGATCTCGCACAAGGTGACCAGGCCTCCTTGCTTGGTGCTCTTCAGCGCCTTCGCAATCCGCCAGCCCGCGGTGAGGCAAACGAGGAGAGAACCAGAGGAAAGATATATATCGCAAAACAAATACATGTACCAATATCTATATATATAGAGACACCGGGTATATAGATATATGTTCATATATATATATATATACATACATATATATATATACATATGCTTGTTAAATACCCCCGTTTACCCGCCTCAGGGTTTCCAGAAAGCTATCTCCGACCTCTGCCTTCCGCTTCCGCTTTCCGGAAATGCTACTTGTGCCAGGTGAGTGCCCAAACCCATGGACCCTTGGTGTGCAAACAGGTAGGCCTGGAAAAAAGGGGCCCCGGCAAAAAATATATACCTTGGCCTGGTTGGTGGAAAACAAAGGGACCCCACAAAAAGATCAAAAGAAGCAAAAAGGGGAGCTACTTCTGGGGAAGGTAGGAACTGAACGTGCCGAAATGGCGGTTCTTGAAATTGGCGTTCTGCTGCTTGGTCGTCCAGTTGACATTGGACGTTGACCAAACGTGGATCAAGGAAACCAAGGGGATTCCCTGAACCCTGAGATAGTGCTTCGAAGGCTCCGATTCTCTGCAGCCCTGTATTCCTGCAAAGCCCTCAGGATCAAACCACCAATGGGAGAATATACTCAATTCCGATCGAGTAAGTTTTGTTTACCACTAAAACGGTCTCCTCAAAAAGTTTCAAAGTCCAGGAACTCAGGGAGTGAGTAACACCATTGTTTTCTGAAGTTGAATCTTCCAAGTTGTGTCCCCTTGGGCTGCTTTCTTTGGGGGAAATCGGTTGAACCCTAGTGTGTAATGACGATCCCTCCAGACCCTGGTACCCTCGGAACATGGGTATACATATATACAGTGCATACAGAAATGAATATATATATATATATTATATTTATCGGTATATATATAATATTGTGTACATCTATATAGTGAAACCCGTTGAGACATGATTGCACCCCAATGCACCATCCTGAGTATAACAATCCTCATAAGGTGACAAGCCAGTTCCCTTTGATTGTGTCGACACAACTTTCCAGCCCTTGCTTGGCATGCGAGCAACAACACATTGTAGTTTTGCAGCCACCCACCAAAAATGCACGGAACCAAACAGGCTAAAACACGTGGCAACGACAGGTGAACATACAAGGCTCTCAACCCGCTTGGCCGAACAGAATGGCTCGACTGTTTACAAATTGCACCCATTCATCCACGCCATTGTCAAGGTATCGACAAGGAGTTTTACGGCTCTCACTGTAACTGGAACTCGTACTGAAAAAAAATGGCAACCCTCTAGGGTTCAATCTCCATTAAAAGAAAGGCAAGGACCCATTTCAACTGACGATCCTTATAATGGTGGTTATATTACGCAATTCGTCTTCTAGGACCCCTTGGTCAGGTTCCATGTTAGTGGACAGGAGGGTAACCCCCAGATTGAATCCCAGGGTATATGGGTCTGTGTTCTTTTAGGGTACCCCAACAGTATCACCAAAGTGAGTCCGAATGCTAAAAACAAACAAAACACCCGTATTAAATTGACCTTAGGCAAGTAGTGGTAGTATGTGGTAGTTTACCCAACCCCCAGTGTTCTGGTAGATTGACTCCCAGGCTTTATTCAAATAGGCCAACCATGTCTTTTTCTTCACGGCTCCCGCCCACCGCGCGCAGCCGCCTTCACCGTGTCCAGCACCAGCACGTCATCGAACTGGATCACCACCGGCAAGGTAATGGCGTCCTGTTTTCAGCGGAAAGCGGGGCAGGGCCTTGGTCGAAATGGAATCCACCAATCTGTGATACAACCAAAACTCGGTTGCTTCCTGCTCCCCTGCTACAAGTTTAACTTTTAGTGGTTTAATGGAGAGCCCACTAGTTGGCAAAACTTAAAGTCCTAACATACAAGCACAATGCACCAAAGAAAAGGGCTTCCCAAAGAATTCCCCCCCCCCCAAAAAAAAAAAAAGAAAGAGGGAAGATTCCCTTGTGTCACAGAGTGGGTATAAGCCTGATACAACAAAAAGGGCCGAACCCCACAGACCTTTTCCCCCCCGAAAAAGGGGGAGATTCGCGAAGATGTTGGATAAACCCTGAGTGATTCCGTAACCCTGCTAAGGGGGTTTCTGGCCAGAAATCGGCGACAAGGAGTGGCTTGGGGCAGCTTTCAGGGAGGGTTCCGGAGGTTTCCAAGGGGTTCCGGGGCTGTTGTGGATACCACCTGGGTGTGTTTGTGTTCGCTTGCGCGGGGCGAAACATATTTCGAAACGGCTACTACACGTTAAATCAAAACAACAAGTAACGGAATGGAAGAAAGTATCACGAACATCACTAGACAACAATGGGTTTGTACATAGAGCCTCACGGAGCCTTCAAACACAACAGGTTGCCCCTGTATTTGATTGAAACCACCCCTATATAGGGCAACGGTGAATCGGGGGCCCTACAGGCAAAGGGCGGGACACCGCCATTTCACGGGTATCCTCTGACAAACCTCTGCGACTCATGCGCGCACTACGATTCAATCCGTTGAGCCACACATGACGAAGGATTGGCATCATCTAAATTGCATCCGAAGGCATAAACCCTAGGGATATGATCCCATAGGATACCTGACTCTAACATCTAGCAGCCCGGGGTCGATGACCTTCCGAGTTACAAGACGAATCCAAGCAGCTTGAAACTCTCAAACACAGAGCACAACCCATGTCCCTTCCCGCAGCAGCATTACCCGCACCTCCATACTTGAAAGGGGCGATCGAGTACTTGGTAACTGGGTGGTAAGCCTGGTTGTAACCCACTTAGACAGATCACCATATTTTTTTCACACCATGGTTATTACCCACTTGCCTGACGTGCCGAATCGACCGCCCCTTTAGGCAACCCTTCTTGGTCCCTACCCCTTGTGCCGACTCCTTTGTGCCCCCTAAGCGCATCGCCCGTCCTTCAGGAGCTGGACAGTCTGCTCTGCTACCTGCGAGTCTCACTCGCCGCTTGAGACATGAGTCGCTGTGTTTGAAAAATGGTGGGCCGCTGTTAAGTTGGTGTCAAAAAAAGGCGGCGATCGGTTTAGTGGTTGTAACAACGCGTGAGAAAACCCACAAAAGCCATGGTTCTAAGTCTCCGTTCAGTGGGTTGTCTCACCATGGTTGTTTCAGCCACGTACCTGACGTACCCGATCACCCGATCGCCCCTTGAAGTATGAAGGGATACTTCAAAAGGGAACCAACCATATGGGGACGAGGAGTTTGAGAAACCTCCACATGTTCACCAGGGGTTTGATTGGACCCTGGGTCAAAGTTGCACTGAAGACACGATATGGCACATTTGAACAAGATTACTATGACTCCCAAAGACTGGAAATGAGAGAAACGCCATGGAAAAAAAGCTTCATCATGGGTACGCTCATTTCCCCCCCAGATCGGTGAGCTTCTCGTACTTGATGCAGAAATTGCTTAACGGAGTAGGGTACTTAGCGGGCAATAACCATGGCTCTAAGCCACTTACCACGGTTGCAAGTCTCCCTTCCGTGGCTAAGCAAGCTTACTCATCACTTACCAAGCACCTTGCCCCTTGAAGTGGTGTGCGGGATTTCGCAAGTTCACACGCCGTCGGCGAACTTTGCCCACACAAGGATTCGACAACCATTGGAAGGCTTCCCATTCAGCCCACACACACACACATGATTCTGCAAATCTTTGAGCGCACCCTTTCTGATGTTGCTCGGAAATCGGTTCGGCACCATTGTGTTGTGTGGAATTCTGGGCCGTTCTCACATCCCCTGCAAAAAGCTCAACTAACTGTTAGTGTGTTAGATGGAAACCCCCACTAAACCCTCCTAAATATCTAAGGAACCGAATGGCTGAGAACCACCAAGTAGTAGCAGTTGTTGTTTTTGTAAAGAGGCCATTCCTCCATTGAAAGGTTCTAGGGGGTGATTTGTCATTCTTTCAAACATAGTTTTCTTAAAAACAAAAAGCCTTTTTTCTCTGGGCTTTCAGACAATTTCCAGATGTGATGGGAAAGGCACCCCTCCAAAAGTCGAACAAAAGCCTCGCAACCGGAGGTTGTCACCATCTTCCAAACCCCGCCTCCGGCTTGATGAGCGCATCTGTAGGCTCACCCTGGAAGTAGCTGTGGTACCTGGGAGTTGGGAAGACACGAGCACATGCGTAACCTGCAAACCTCTCCAGAAGGTGTCCGCGTGGTTCTCATGTAAAACCAGCCAAACAAAAACGGTGCCTGTTTTTTAGAAACCCCCAACCAAATGGCCCTACATGCAACAACACCAATCTAAACCAGTGGAACCCATCTATTTCTAACCAAACCAACCTAACAAGGACACCGATGCATGAGCCTTTTTCTTCGTGGTCCAAAACCCTGCGGTCAATGCCAAAGGATCGTGGGTGATTGGGCAACAAAGCACATGTTTGTAACCTATTTTATAACACGCATACAACTGCCCCTAAGAGGATTTACTAGTGGAGTTACTAGTTACTAAAATAATCTGGGGTGGCAAGCCCCTCTTAGTAAGGAACACATCTATTTTGAGGGGTTCCTCTGACTCGTAGGGTCCTGGTTAGACGCCGAAGTCCACGGTGCCGAACAATGACCAAGTCATCATGGGAGCTGGGAAAAAAGGGAGGGGGAGGGGAAGGGAGTCCAAATAAGCCGTAGCGATGGCCTAATTCAGGGCTTGATAAGGTCTATTTGGGCTCTCTCCCCGCCCTCTCCCTCCCCCCCAGCCATGAAATCGGTGGACCAACCGAAATTTGCCGAGGAACGTCTGTCCACCTCCATTGTCCTAGAACTGACACGGGATTTGTCCCATGTGGGCACTCGATAAAAGGTCTTTCGAAGAACGATCTCAGGTACCCAGGGAACACACAGGTGCTATGCCAGTTGTGAAGTTTTTTGGGGGACCAACGCCCCAAAGCCTTTGGACATCATTAGGTGGGGAGTCATGCCCACGACACACTTGTGAGGTGGTTCCAACTCTTAACAATTGTAGACTTATGCTAGTTGAAGGCAGGGTAGCGCCTATCCCTTGTCCCATGCGGTCTCTTGGTACTCCTTGACTTGACAATGGCTTTGGCGCGGAAGGGGGGGGTTAAAGTATTACCTGCTTAGCAGGCACCAACGGACCCTTAAGCATATGATATGCAACGTGGGTATGTGTGACAAGACATTGAGGCAAGAGTACCGAGCCTCAAAAACAGCATCCTCACGGATGGTTGTTTTTCCGCGCGCGTCGATCTGGTCGAGCCAGTTTGTCTCAAACGTACTTGGGAGTTGGGCTGAGCTAGTAAGTTGTTGCAACAACCTAAGCTACAACCTGCTTACAAGTCCCTCTAAGTCTCTAAGTGGAGTTAGACTTGCTCCCAACCATGATTTGAGCCAGGCCCAGTAGAATGTAGATTCTATTGTGTGCTTCTCTTCGAGACACTGGTCCAATGCAACATGTCTCGGTCTGTGGGAAAAACACCTCAGGTGGCCGCCCCAGCGGTGTGCCGGAGGGGCACGTCTTCAAGTACTGGAAGGCATCGGCCCTCTTGCCGAAGTCCCTGTGCAAGACATGTTACGTTGGTGTCCTTTTTGGAAAATCGATGGGTTTCCTCGGGTAGATGAGAAAAAAAAACACCAGGTAAACCGGGGCCCTCGAGTTTGTAGGCAAACTAACCAGAAAGGACACCTATGCCATCTTATGGACGCCTGAGGGGGAGGGGGGCTATGGGGCTATGGGGGTTGACGGCTATCCCTGGATAAGCCATGAGCCAAGAGCCTGAATCAGGGGTCACGTCCCGTGGTACCGGGTTTGCTGTATGGTTCGGGGTTTCACTCCATCCTCGAACATAGATGGTTGGCACTACCCAACAAGTACTGGGACCCTAGGGTTTAATGGGATAAATATAACCATTTTACCACACAATGGGTGGTTTGCCCCGGTTTTCCCCTGGTGGCCATCCTAGATACTTGAACCCTTAGTGGCCCGACAAAGAAACCAAGGTGGCGATTTTTGTTTGCTGGCCCCATCTATCCGCCACCGAACCCAAAGGGTCGGTCTTAAGGAGCTCTGTAGCACTTAGCTCCCTCTTAACTGGGCTGCCCTCAGATCCCCCGCTAAAAGTTTAACTTTTAGTGGGCTACCACTAAACACAAAAAGCCAAATGGCTAAGGGGATGGCTGAGAGCCACCAAATTAAAAGATCCCTCTTTCGCACTTGGCTCCGAGCCAAGCTCCGAAAGGCTCCCTCATTGAAAACAATTGGTTGGATCCCCCCAGCTCCGCTCTTTGGCTCCCTTCCAACCAGCTCGTCTTGGCAGCTTTTGGGGAGAATCCTCGCAAGGTGCCAAGGGGCCCTTAGGGGAGATAAGAGACCCGGTTTGTTGTTCTCATGGGAGACATCTGTCCACACTAATTCCTTTGACCTCAATCCAGTCATCAACACCAAAAAAATGACTTTTGCCAGCTAAGTGTAGAGAGGTTCCTCAATACCCTCTACAGTAAGCTCCCCCTACCCTCAGTTGCCCCAAAGAACCCTGAAACAGAACGCGATCACCTCTTGGGTTGCCATGACGAACAAACCAAACGGTCAGATCCGGTCGAGTCGCTTTGTTGCAAGCAAGTACCCGCCAGAAAGAACCCCCCCTCTCATGGTCCTCATGTACTTGGAGATGTCGGCATAGAGCCGACGCTTGTCCTCTATGGTCATGAACGCCTCCCAGTCGGCCTCATTCACGCGCTTGCCCCAAGGTTGCGAATAGGGGCTTCACCAAGAAAAAAGTACATTGTTGAAACCCATGCCTTAGAAGTAGATACCAGTTTAAACAAGACCATAAACACGGATAGACATTACATGTTTCATGGCCCTTTGTCTCTCCTGCCTTCGTCAAGATCGTGGTGAACCTACTTCCATGCTGATCAAGGGCCAGTTAACTGTTGGGAATGCGCGAAGCGCAAACTAGCACTGGTGCAACACATGGCACTTTGAAGTGCAGTGGCAAATGGCAACTTGGGGGTCCCTCGATTGGCAGGGGACCCACGACTGCTGCAAGCCGCTTGGAAGATGGTTGTCGTGTCGCCCACCCTTCAGAAACAGCCGGCGCCGCGCCGAGTGTTTTTCAGGGTCCCCAGTAGAGGGACCCCCTGAAAGGACATGAGAACTTTGGGAACTGAGTTGTGGCTCCGGCAATCAAAGTCACCTGTGTCAGCCATGCACAAGATAAACAAAATCCTCAGCCAAAGTCACATCCATCCAGCCGCGGCCCTGAAACCAGAGGGGCGCCACTGAATGTACGGCCGGAGAGCTGTTGGAAGTTTGGCTTTGCCTAAGTTTGATTGTCAATGGCCCGAGGTCTTGTCCTGCGGCTCTCCTTTGCAGTGGGCAAGTGAACCCCGATACAATTTATGAACCCCTGGGTCATTCCACCACTGACTTAAACTAACTATCTGGGTCTGTCTTTGAAGCCAAGAGGAAAACCACCATTTTGGGTGGGTTCCCCAAAAAAACATCTGGTAATTGCAAAGCACCAGTCATTTTGCGGCCCACACATTTAACCCAAAAGTTAATTCTGATCACTATCTCTCAGTTGAAGAATTCCGGGAAGGAACGCGCTCTGACCCGCTCAAATTACCGGATAGACAATGTTTTAACTTTTAGGGGTCGTTTACTGAAATGATGAAGACATCTACCCACTGAAAGCTCAAAGCTTGCCAGCCAAACACGTCACAGCTGTCGCAACATTCTACTTTGCCGCAGGTCCAAAGGACCCAGATTGTAAGGTGGCCTTTTCTTGGTTGCTGCAAGGACCCCCCTGCAAAAAGCGGCCAACCTTTTGGGGGTTTAGTGGAAAACCCAACTTGATTTCAACCAAAAAGTTAAAGTCTAAAGATCCAACCCAATAGGAGTCAAATTTTGGGGTCATGACACATGGACCCAAAGGGGAAAACCAAAAGCGCAGCTCCGGATTCCTCGCTTTGGTTTGCAAGCGAGTCTACGGACACCTCGCGCGCGAGCTCTGACCAAGCAAGGCCCTCACCATCCAAGACTCCAAGTACTCCAGGTATGGGAGCACCTCGGATGAGCGTTCATTTGGCGGCTGACAAAAGTGCTAACCAAATTGGCCTTACAAAAATGTTAACCAAGATGGCCTTGGTGAATGAAACCAAAGACGAAATTTTGTGTAACCCTAGCGCCTTCAGTTTGAGCCACAGCCATTTATCCTACGTCTCCACCAGGGGTTGGACGAGGAAACCTGTTGCACTATTTAAGGGGGTTCCGAGTCCTTAAAAAAAAGACACACCCATGTGCGAGTCTTACAATGAGGGGACCCCAAAAACTGTGGTTTGCCCTTTCGCTTCCCAACAAAAAGTCAAAAAAAGGGTACCCACAAAAAAAGGGCGCCAACAGAAAGGGTGCCAGACTGGTGATTTCCTTAACGAGTCTCGTTTCAGCCCCTGTCCTCAGAAGGTACCCTTGGGGCTAGTCTTGGATGACCACTTTGAACAACTCAAACCTAACAAATCATCAAAAACCAAGACCTTGGGTGACCTAACCTAATCTTGGGTTGGTCTTGGTTTTGGATGACCCCAACAAATCATCAACTCAAGACCTATTAGCACCTTGACCCCTTAGGCCCCCTTCCTCCACAATGTGAGGCCACAACATCCGAACACACTCCTCTGAGGGGAAACACTAATAAAAAAATATATAATAATAATAAAGAACATAACAAAATAAAATAAATAAACACAAAAAGTCCTGGAGTCTCCATGACCCGTGAAAAATGGTTGGTCAATGGCCCCAACATTGTGGGGTTGACCGTTTTCAAAGGGGCAGAAGGAGACTCATGTCCTGAGTATATTTTTTTGATCAGCCGGCCTTCCAATGGGCTCCGTTTTCTGCCGTTGTCCCCTAAAATAAGCGACAAGGCGGAAAAACCACTGGTGAGGTCCAGAAAACAGGGATCCTTACATTATACCCCTGAACATTGCCTTGTCAATGGTGGTTTCCGTTTATTCTGGTGTTGAAAAAGCCATGTCTCAAATGGGCAAAATGTATCTTTCAAGGAGCCCTGGAAAACTGGCTCAGCTTCTTCATTTCTTATGAGCAAGCCTTGGGACCCTGAAAATTCCGGAAGTGCCGAACCCCCCGAGAGAAACGACGCACAAAAAAGACCGCGGCGCCTGGTCAAACATATCAGCCTTGGCTGCGTAGTCCAGAGTGTACCTCCGCACGTTGATTCATCTCCTGTTGTCTAACTTTTGCTGGTTTAGCAAGAAACACACACTTCAAGGTTAAAGATCCCCAAACATATAAACAAACAGTGGATTTCACACAACACACATTTTGTCCACAAAAGGTTTAAAGAACCAAACCCCACAGAAGCCAAGTTCTGAGCGTGCTTCCACAAAGCACTCATTTGCCGCATCAGGCGCACTTGAACACGCGATATCTGAACCTCGGAATCAGTTGCCCCGGCCCCGGGCCACCCAAACCAGGAACCTTGTTTTCTTGGGGGGGCCGAAGAAGGTTGTCGTTGTTTGGGTCCCGATCCACCAAACAAGCATGATAAACAGGCCTCAAAGAATGTCCGTCCAAAAAGCATCCAGCATGAACCGTAGGCAAGAAGCTACTTGAAGGAAGCCATTCAACTTCCACACTACCAACAGGAGAAGTGGTGCGCAGTCACTGGACTTTCATGGCTCTCATGCGAAGCGAGCCACACTTGTTCCAATGGGCCTGTATCGGTTGGGAGCTTTCAAGATCCAAACTTGCTAGACCCTCAAAGGACCGATTCCTTCTTTCTGCCCGTGTACCCCCATTTTTATGGGTCAAAGGCAGAAAAAAAAAGGATCGGTCCTTTGGGGGTCCAGGTTGGGGAAACCCACACCATGCGTCCTGGAGTCCGCTGACCCTTCAAGTGGACCTCTCACTGGCATCCCATTGTTTACGGAGGCGACAGGGGGTGTTTGTAGCTGTGCTGCAAGTCGAGACCTGCTCACTGCTCAGCGACTTCTTTACATCATGGGCCTTGGGCATGGAAACAAAAAACAAACCCTAGTATACCCACCACCCCCACCACCCCCACCACCCCCACCACCCCCACCACCCCCACCACCCCCACCACCCCCACCGCCCCCACCGCCCCCACCGCCCCCACCACCCCCACCACCCCCACCACCCCCACCACCCCACCACCCCACCACCGCACCCCACCACCCTGATTTACGATTTACACTGGTCTTGTGGTCGATCATGGTGGTCTTACAGTAGTTGGCATACTTTCGCAAGATCTTTTGGGGCATCCTCCGTTGATTGAAACACCTGCAACACCCGAAAGTCTCAGCCAGCAACTCGAAGATGGGGCTGTTGAAGGTGTTGTAGAGCATCATCAGCAGTCTCAATCTCAGCTCTGGCTGCCTCGGACAGCTTTGTTAGCTTTGCGCTCAGGCTCGACAAGCCGAGAAAGGCGAGAAGCAGTGCTTTGGGTTGTGCAGCTTCCGGGGCGGGCTGAGAAGGAGGGCTCTGGGGCTGTTGGGGATATCACTTCGGCTTATTTGGGGATAGCCGCGGACGGGCAAAATGACTTTACTTCCCCCAAGAGGACACGGATGATGTGGGGTGATGTGGGGTGTCTGTGAACAATTTGGTGAGTCCCCGGATCGAATCACACCCCGTTGTTGGCGAAGCATTTTTTCGGAACCTCTGGGAATATGAGTATCCCTGCAACACCAATGCAACACATTAGGCTATTCAATCACACACACAAAAAAGGTAAAGTACGGCAAACTACGGCAAGCCAGGGATTCAACCAAACATACGTATGAAAAAATACAGCAAACTAGAGACTTGCTTTTCGTATGCTCCAGCTCCTGATCCGGGGACGGGTTGCTGATCAGTCTCGCCGCTAAAGAGCTCGCAGAGCTGGGTGGTCGCCTTGTCCAGATGCTCCGTGTCCTGACTGAATTCCTGAAAGCTTTAGGGGGACGGCCCCCCCAAAAATGTTCGGCCAGCCAAGTCAAGTGGTTGTCCACCTGGGTTGTAACCCAGTGACAAGGTCAACTCGCCTTAGGGCGTTCGGCCAAGATAGTAAGTTAGTAGCTTAAGTACAAGCCCGCTCATAAATTTCCTTTAGTCGAGCTAACAGTGCCAACTACCACTTACTAACTTGGCCGAACATCCAAGCAGAGTTCGACCGATTCCGCAAAAGACTGGCCTAAGGAGACCCAGTTGTGATGCAACTCTACGGTAAACGATGGTGGTGATGCATGTTATATCCCCCCACCGTTTGAATGGGGGAACCCGTTATGTATATTCTATCCAACCCTGGGTATGGTAGCAAAACACCTTCTTTTTGCAGCCTCCTACAAAAGACCAACAGATACCTAAATTATTGCCAACAACGGAACCCGTAATTGCCCTTCAAGGAAACCACCAGTTGGATGATACAAAAACGGGGCATTCCCTCATTGCCGCTGAGCACCATCAAGATATATAGATGTGTAATATATATGTATATATATATATATATGTGTGGTCCAAAGTTTAAGGGCTGGGGTTACGCAGGTTTTGGTCTTTGTTTCCATCCAAGGGGCCCAAAAATGGGATCATTTTTTTGAGCCACAGCCATATCTCCATCATCTTGGATAGAATTCCGCAGTGCCTAAACTGGCTCTGTGGTTCTCGAAGTGCTTGGAATTGTTCGGGAGATTTGGTCCCAGAAAGCCTCCCAACGTTTCCCCAAAAATGAGTAGAAGTTGACCTGACAGAACAACAACCAGAACTGGGTTGAGGTTGAAGGGGAGCAAAATTTAAACTTTTGCAGCTAAGTGGGGATTTCCCACTAAACCGCAATAAGCAAAAATGTAAAATGTTTCCCAACGACAACCATGAGAAGGGGTACCCAAAAGTTGTTGTTTCTTGCTCCTCGCTGGCAAACTGTCGCTAGTATTTAAGGAGTGGACTGTCCTGCAAACCAAACCCTTGCTTCTTTCTTCCTCACGTGTCAAAACACATTTCCTAGCAGATCTAAGCAGTCGACCACACAAAAAATATAATATCAACTGCTCAAAACTTCTTATGCAAGTGCTGCAGGTAAATCGAAAGAAAGGGTCAAAAACAGAAATTTATCCAAGAACCAAGACTCCCCAAGAAATTGACATGGAATCCGAAAAGAGGTCCCCCAAAAGAAGTTTGCTCCCGGTAATCTGTAGCGTGCGTTGCTAACCTAGTCAGTGGTTAGACACCTGGGCAACAACCCAGTAATAACAAGGTCAACTCCACTGAACGGGGGACTTGTAAGAGGGTTATAACCCAATTTACCAACGAAACATCCGTTGCCTTGTTTGTAAATGGATTCGATGTTTGGGTTAAAACCAGAGGGTTCCGTCCAAAGGAGGGGTTACGAGGCCAAAGGTGGACCCTTGTTTGGTTGGAACCGACAGGAAACTGGCCATTTCCGGGATGCCTATTTTCAGAAACACCCTGCAAGAAACTTGAAACACTGGCTGAAAAAAACGCGGAAGGACCAAACACAAAACACCGGAGTCCAGACGAGTGTTGTTGTCAACCAACTGCCGGTCTTTACTCAAAGTCCCTTTAACACCATCCAAAAAGAGTTACCCTCAAACAAAAACACCCACTTCCACATGGAAGCCACTGATTCTTGCTTGGTTCTAATCTTTTGCCAGAGCCTTTCATTGTTGAAGGACACCTATGTGAAAAACTACGTCCCCCTCCATTTTCAAGGAGATCTGGGGTACCTCCAAGCTGATTCCTGCCGTGTTGGTTCTACGCTTGGCGCCTCTTGAGCCTTTTGTGGGGCCCACATGAAGGCAAAAGTGGATACTCGCAAAACAACTGGAGGGTGCTCCCTAGTGACTGTCCGGTGTTCTGAGGATTTGCCATACCTTTTTTTAGCTCATCCTCTCCTCAGAAGGATCGGCCAACCAACTCAGTAACACCACCATTTTAAGCGACCCCCCATTTTTGACACGGAAGTCTTGATCCTTGCCCAAAGCAAACGATTCGGACGCAACATCGTCCTCCAAAGAGAGGAGCATGCTCAAAATCAGGGCGAAGAAGCTCTGGCGAAGCGGCCGGCATGTGGTGTGGTGTGCGGTGCTCGGAAGTCTGGGAATCCGGGAACTGATCGTTCGGTGCAAATGAGCCATTAAAAACACCTGACATTGGCGTGTCCTATGGGCGTTCGCGGCCCCAAAGCCGAAATGGGGACCCCCAGAAATCGCCCCCAGAGGAAAACCGATGGCCCCTAGCAGCCCCTTACCTTCTGGGGGGGCCCCCCTGGACCATAGGAACATAGCCTACCCAAGCAAAGAAATACGAGGGCCTGACTCAAATGAGAAAGTCTCCAAAAGGTATCCCTGGGATTCAGGCAGGCCATGAAAACAACGGTTGGATGCATATAACCGTAATATAACTCACAGGGGGTAGTAAAACAATGAGGGGTAGTAGCTGTAACCAACAGGGAGGGGGTGAGTACCCCCATGGTTGGGGTCATATTTTACTTACCGTTCAGGATTGTCATCATCTAAATTGGGTCCCATCTTTTTGAAGGTGATGGATGTCTTCGAATCAAAGAGAGTGGTGCTCAAAAGACGAGTGTCTAATCAAAAAGATGGCGCTTGGCACATGCGTCTAGCCTCCTCATACCTTTAAGCGATCGAAAGGCCGCGTCTCGTGATTTGGCGCAGAACCTAGGGGCGGTTTTTAGGGGCTAAAAGAGGTCGGTATACGTCGCGAAGCATTTTGCGCGTGTAGAAGACCGTTGGAGGAATGAAACTGTTGCAATTGAATGGATTCTGCGATTGGACGATCTTCAACAAGTGAAAGCGAGTCCCACGGCCGCCCCCTTCTCGAGGCACGAAATAGCGGAAGGAACAAATCTAGAACGGCCTTCAGCAAATGAACACCGCGTCTTTGATTTGGAAAGCCCCAAATCAAAAGATCAAGTTCTGAAACAGAACAGCTTTCAGGTGATTCGATCGGGGACCACCATCAGTCACATCTGCATAGGGTCCCTTGAGCCTGTCACCTCCCTTGAGACCCCAACGTAGACTGGACCTTGTTACTACTGGGTTGTAACCCGGATGGCTTACCACCAACTAACTTGGTCGAACAGCCAAGTACGTTTGGTTGTTTGTTGCTCATGGCGTCCATCGCAAGGGGGATCCATAAATTTAGGAAGCATGTTTGCCATGTACTCCGTGAACTGGTGTGGTTTGAGGCCGGTTTCAAGGAAGGTAAAACTTTAGCCCGGATTCGTCTTTCGACCAAAATCCAGCGACACTTGTGTCCACCTGACTCAAAAAAGGGAAATCAAGCGATCCTTGAGTCCACCTTGGTCTCCCTGGAGTTGAAGGCTGCAAGGCAGCATAGTCAAAGTTCATCGTGCCAGGGAACGATGGATAACTGGCGACCCGCTAGTCCTCTTTGTTTTTGAATTTTGTGAGCCCGATTTTATCTGTGGCAGGTGTAACAAACGGGGTGGGAGAAAAACAACAAGCAAAACACTGTGCACCTGTGATGCAACAAACATGGCCTGTTGTACAAAACAAACTGGCGATGAACGTGGGTGTCAACTCCAAAAAGGCATGGAGACCTCGGTGCCGTACACAAACTCGGTCCTCCAGTAAAGAGGTTAGAATCAGTTGGTACCAACTTATTTCTGGACGTCTATATTTAGTAGGGGAACCCTCCCAACCAAAAACGAAAAGGACAACAAAAGGGCACCTAGCCCGGGGGACCTAGCAAAGAAACCGCTTGAAAGTGGAAAAAGGGGAGAGAAGGGCACCTAGCTGGCGGACCTAGCAAAGAAACATGGTTGAGCTGGCCGCATGATTTTGCCACTCTCAAAGTCAGCTTTTTAAGTGCTGGCTTAAAGGGAAGCCACCCCAGTTTCTGACTTTGATACCTCATAGAAACCGTCATGCTAATCCTTGGTTGCCGTTGGAAGAGCAAACATTCTCATTGTTGTGCGATTAAGCGGTTGGAGTTCAACCCCTAAACTGCAATAAGCAAACAAATGTAAAAAAGGTTTCCCAACGACAACCATGAAGGGGGTGTTCAACCAACAAGTCACCCGCCGCGTTGGCGGGCCGTAACGACCAAAACTCGATTCAGCCTAGGGCCATCGATTTCAGTGGCCTCGATCTCCTTCAGCCGCTCCTCCGGTTTGCTGTCCGGGATGGCGGTGAACAAGGTCTGACCGGAGAGAGGACTTGGGCCGACGACTTTCATCTGCTTCAGCCCACGGAAAAAAGCGAAAACATATGTCCAGTAGCGTTAGGTTGCCTTGAAAACCAAGGGGACCGGAGAAGAACTCATGGAATCCCGACTTGGGGGTTGACTTCCATTTGCTTAGCGGACAAAAAGAGAACATATGTCCAGTAGTGATAGGTTCCCTTTACAACCAACAGGGGAAAGTAACAAGTACTCTTCACCTAATGGAAGTAGTGGAAATCCGAACTCGGGGGGTGAATACCACGCGGGTTGGATTTTTGCGAGCCCCTTGCGGGTTTCTCTTCGGGTTTCGGCAGGGGCTTCCTTGAACTTCCTCCTTTATCCGCTTTCCCCCAAATGGGTGTGGTGGTTCAGCTTGAAGACCTGCTCGCGGTAACTGAGCAGCCCATTGGCTGTTTTGTTTTTGTTTTTCCCCCCGGAACCATGTAAAGAATGAGCAAACATCTGCACCCATTTATCTTGGTTGACGTTGGAAGGGGAGCAACAAATTCAATTTTAGCAGCTAAGTGGGGATGCCCCACTAAACCACAATAAGCAATCATGTAAAATGTTTCCCAACAACAACCAAGGCTTTAGGGGGTGCAGCCTGTCACTTCTCATCCCACAAGAATCGTAATCCAAATATCCAAATCCAAACCAGGGGAAAATGAGAACAGGAAAGCCGCGGAGCCGCATAACATACTGTAGCTCGTCAGTTTCTAGAATTGAGACCGGGGCTCAAAATGCCGGGGGGGGGCTCCCGCCTGTAAAACGCACCCAAATCTGTGGATTCGACTCCCAAAAAATAGTTGGTGTCCTTTCGGTGTTCGTTTAAACTGGCCGAGTACGCCCTATGATTCTAGGCAGCCAGGCGATCCATTGAACTTAGAGGTAAAAGCGCTGGTTACCTATAGTGGCAAGCGAATCCGCTGGCCCGGGTATGTCTCCTTGGGCCTGGAACCCTTGAAATGGTTTGTGTTCCTGTTGGTTTTCCTGAACCAGGCAAGGTGAAAAAGATACCCGCACAAACACACGCCCACTCAGCCGTACGGGCTCGTTAAGTGCTTCGACCCTTGGTAAGCGCCTGAAGTGAATGTGCCACACAGGGGTCAAATTACATCATCGCAAGGGTTCTTGCGTGTTTGGCCAAGTTTGTTTGCTGTTAAGAAACCAACGTAACAACCCGCTTGCAAGTCCCCCTAAGTAGATCGAACCTTGTTGTTGGTGGGTTGCAACCCATGTGGCTAACCACTTATCAACTTGGCCGCACATCCAAGTACTTTACCTAGGTCCTCCAGTAGAGTGGTTAGAATAAGGGTGCCCCTTTGTTTCTGTATAGTCTATTTTAGTAGGGGAACCCTCCCAAAAAAAAGAAACGGCAAGTTGGCACTACTGGGGGACCTAGTTGCAATAAAGGGGTGATTGCTCCCTCCAACAAATGGCAGTGGCTCAAAATTAAAGAGCTAGGGTTACGCAGGTTTTGGTCCATGTTTCCAGTTACCAGGGTTCCATTTTGGTACCGGTTTTTTGAACCATGTGCCATGCGGGAACGGTTCATAGTGGACGCCCTAAATCGCGATGTTCGGTTTGGTTCCCCTTTCAACCAACCCACAAATTGGTACCCTCAAACTTACAAACACACCAAACACACCAAACACACATGTTGCACCCCAATTGCCCATAGACTAGTACTGGATACTTTGACTGAACCTCACTTGGTGACAAGATTAGAACTTAGTGATGGACGCTCCTTGGTGATCTTTCCAAATGATGTTGAACCCGAAATCAACCATCTGGTTGATTGACGGGGAGTTGCTCCGAAAAGTGGTATGGGTCAATATTAAACCAGCAGAAAATGGACTGCAGGTTTTAGTCCATGTGTCCATTTACCAGGGTTCTATTTTGGTACCTATTTGATTCACAGCCAAGTGATCTTAAATGGCACCTCCTATTCCCCTATTCGCAATGGGATACTCAGTAGGTTACATTCACTGATAAAGCTCCACGCGCCAGACATCTGGGCTCGGATGTCAATCCCTCGCGACGTGTCGGCCCGCCTTGCTGTACTCTACAAAGAGGTCGAAGACAGGCTCGCAGGGATACCTGCTAATTTGGGACTCAACATTGGTCAAAGCTTCCTTCCCTCGCCCATCCCCAGATCACACACAAAAACCACCTTTCTTTCCCATTGACACAGCCAATGAATTCACTTGTATAAACCCACTAATAACAAGGTTCGCTCCACTTAGAGGGACTTGCGGGTTTTTGGCTGGCTTACCAAACACCCAAGTAGAGTTTCTTAGGAAACCAAAAGGCCCCTTCCCCCCCCGCCCGCCCCCGGAACCAAACCCCCCCCACTTCGGGATACAGAGAAGCTGGGGGGTCTCCTAACATTTGTGTGGTTACATGTCTAGTCTCAATTTGATGCCATCCAACAGGGGTGGTTCCCCAAAAAATGCGTAACAAGGGGAATCCCCGGCATTCTCAAGTGGGCCCCCGTGCTTTTTCGCCCACAACCATCTTGCCTGTTTGTCCGTCATTCATTGGGCATGAACATAGGGTCTGGGGCAAGCCAGAAGAGCAAAGCCTATTCGGGCAAAACCAAAAATAACAACATATACCCCATCCATACCCCATCCATTTTCATAATGCTCCATCCACACCCCAATCTGTTTGGGGAACCAGCATACCCCACAGGTCAGCGCCCGGTGCAGGCTGCGTAAGGTTCACGGAGCGATTCCATCGAGCCAGTGGTTTGGGCATTTTCGAATTCCTCGTCGAGGATATCCGCAGTAGTCGGTATTGTCCCAACCTTCTACCCAGAATTGTCTAAGATGGCAACCTAACTTCCTGAGTGGATTGGCGAACAAACAGTCCAAACGGTTCGTCTCCATGACACGAATCAAAAATGGGTCAATGACCAACCGTTATTTAGGGTACTTATCCCATTTTTCAATGGTCAGAAGGAGACGCCAGGACATGGTTTCCCCCCCAAAAAAAAAGTGCGGTATCTCGGGGAGTGAGATATGTTCTCCTGTTCGTTTCTCCTTTTACACCAATCGAAAGGGTCCAAGCCCCATTTGACGAACTCTCAAATGGTTAAAGTTAAAGGGCACTAAGCTTCACTTATCCCAGATGTTCATTGTGACTCATTCATGTCTTCTACCACTGTCTTGCCATGGTTCTAGGGGTACCTTCCCCATTCTTTCTAGGGATCCTTCTTTCTAGAAAACCTCCGGAAACCGTGGGAAAACGGCCGGTTTTTGGAAAGAACGATGGTTGAAAAGAATGGGGAATCAACCCCTAGAACGGCTTACCATTTCTGCTACCTCTTGGTTCACATCATCTTGCTGGTGCCAGCAGCGGCTCACTCCGCGGACTTCTCCTGTGCGTCCTGGAGGGCCTGCGGGCAGAGGTAGGAGCCAGGTGAACGAAAGGATGGGGAAAACAACCATAGTTACCATTTGTTTGTTTAAGATAAACCAACAAAAACTCCTAACCCAACTTCCTAACAAAATCGTCTTCTCAAAGAAGGTTACAGTTCAGGAACTTAGGGAGGGACGGGGGACTGGACTCTTTGGCTTTGTTGTTTAACCGAAAAGGTTGTCTTAGACTTCCATGTGGGTTTTCGGCCCTGGAAAAAATGGATCTCCCCTCCCTTGGGTGCTAAATGTCCAAGCCGTCTGTGGTTACTGGGTTGCAACCCCATTTTGGAAACAAGCCCGAGTGATATCCCCAACAGCCGAACCCTCCTGACCCCTGCGACCCTCCCTATAACAGCTAAAGCAAACCGAGCCAATTTGGAATTGGGGCCTAATGTTGAACCCGGATTAAACAAACAACTGTTCATTAATATGGGGGTGTCCCTGGTTTTAGTGGGGATTTATCACTTTTGTGGTAAACCCCTGCATATTAATAAACAGGGGCTTATTGAATGATCCGGGGTCAACATTACCCTCCTCAAGGCTTGCAGGGGAACAAGCCGCCGGCCTTAAACTCGGTCTTGAACTTCTGGGTGAAGGCTTCTTCCGCTTCCTGTCCTTGCTGCTGCTGCAGCAGTCTCCTGGCCCATTGGAGCTGCGACGCTGCGATCGCTGCGATCGCTTTCTGGAAAAAGGCGTGGCCCTAAGGATGTCCATTCATACCTTTTCTTGGTTGACGTTGGAAGTGGAGCAACAAAAACAGATTGTAGAAGTTAAGTGGGAATTCCCACGAAACCACAATAAGCAACAATGCAAAATGTGTCCCAACAACAACCATGTTTTAAGGATGCACTGGTGGGGGTCACATGGGTCAAGGTACTCTCCCATCAAGTAACATGGAACCTCACAGGAGGTTTTTCTGAAAGATCCATTTCCTTTTGCAAGGAACCCCTGTCAGGTTTCATGTAAATTAATGTGAGTACTTCCTTAGAAGGCACCAAAGGACCCTCTGGGAAGTACTGAAAGAGCAAACCCAAAAAGGCAGATTCTCAAAGAAATTGCGGCGCATCCTTTGGATTCCTTTTCCACCCTCCCGATAAAGGGTGCTTGGGGGTTGGGGTAGGTTGGTAAGTTGTTCGCCACCTAAGCTGTAACCTGCTTGTAAGCCCCCTTAAGTAGAGCTAACCTTCTTATTGCTGCGTGATATGCCCCACGTGGAAGACCATTTTCCCCTTGCTGACTTGGCGAATTGAACATCCAAGTCCCAAAACTCCTGCGCCTACGTGGCGATGGACAAAATCCTGCACCACTATGAGAAACCATGAAATGATAATTTGCCAACGTAAATACCAACCAGCGAAATGATTTATGGATTCAAAGCGGTGCGAAATGGATTTCGCAACCATCCACAGTACTACGACCACAACTACCAACCCAACCAAAGGAACTGGTCTTTTGAGACACACCCACATAAGAAGCCAATCCAACATCTGGGGGTCCCGCCCTTTTGCACAGGTGAGACCTTTGCTTTAGGCCTTTTGGCCCCAAGTATATCTTGAACCCACATTCACAACCCCAACCTATGCTTAATGGAGGGTGCTCCCCAAAGGAAGGTTACAGCCCTGGTTGTAAGCTTCCCAAGCGGGTTATCTCAACATGGTGACCCACTTACCTGACCTACCCTGCATCCATCGCCCCTTTGCACGTGCTCCAATGACGCCGAATCCGACCCCGCGCCAATGGCGGCCCCTCGACCCGCGTGAACGCGGTGAGCTAACCCCGGCGGTGCCGCTGCAGCCACTCGGCGCCCTGCACGATCGCATCTTCCTGTGGCACGCGAGCGATCGGCGGCCGGTGGCGTCGAGTTTTTTCGTGGGTAGGGGAAACAGCTCCGCGTGAGACGGGCGTGTCAGCCAGTTGTTCACAGTACTTGTTTGTTTGTATTCTCCTAGGGAAGCCAAGAACGACAGCAATAACTTTGAAAGGGTACCTGTTTCTGTGTATTTAAAGGAAAACCGAAAGGAAAACCACCATTTTGGGGGACCAATGAAAAGGACATACCCATATGGGTGTGTCAGTTTTTGTTGGGAACCCCCTTTTGGTTGGTTTTAAAGGTAGGCCCAAAGGAACATCACCAAATCTAGGGTCTCCGATTCCTATTTTGAGAGCATGTTCTGGAGATGTTACTCTTCCTTTTAGGTACGGAGGAAAACCATCAAACCAAAAGGACGCCAACCATGTTGGGGGACCAAGTCCTAATCATGTGCGAAAATCCCGCGGGTACAAACATCAAACAAACGGGTTTCCTCCACAAACACACACCCAAATAACACTGCTGTCAACCTCAGGTTCATCGGGAAGGACACATAGGGTCCTCCGAAAAAAGGAAAAAACAAAAAACTGAAGCTAAGACTACTATTGGAGACTTCAACCAGGAAATGGTGGACCCCTGAAGGAAGCCACGTGCTAACTGATTAAGACTCTTTTGCAAGTCACACTTCCTAAGGAAACACGTGCCCTTGGGACAAGAAGGGTTGGTCATTGTTTTCAATTCGGAACACCGAATCTCCCCCCAAAAGCAGCTTTGAAAGAGTTAGCAACCCACGTGTCTGGTCGCTGCTTGTGTCTTCGGCCAAATTAGCAAGTTGTCAGTGACTTAAGCTATAACCTACGTCCACGTGCCCTAAGTAGAGCTAAACTTGTCATCAGTGGGGTTATACTGCAGGAGGCTAAGCACTTGCCTGGAGTCTCCATGACCCTTAAACAAATGGGGTCAGTACCCAAAATAATGGGGTCATTCACCCACTTTTTAAGGGTCATGGAGACTCCAGGTACTAACTTTGCTCAACATCCACGTGCCAAAACGAGCTCAACAAAGCCCTGAACTGAAGGGGCCTTGTCATCTACTCCCACAGCTCGATTTCCAGGTCTTGGTTCACTAGCCCAGTGACTCAATTTGCCCATAGAAGGGGGGGGGGGGGGAAACCAAGGGCCTGACAACCTTTGAAACCCAAATGGAACATGGCGAAGTCTTGCCTACTATACAGTGCTAACTGGGATTTAGTGGGTAGCTGAGGGAATGACGACCGATCGAATTTCGATCGCGTAGCTTGGCCAAAGTGGAACTTGTATCATTTGCCACTAAAATGCTTCGAGCCCAAAAAGTGGCTCAAGTCCGGAACGCAACTCGGGACTTGAAAGACCAGGGTTGCCATAGCAATTTCTGTAGATACCCGGCCATCAAAAAGGGAGAGATTCCCAGTCCCTGCGCGCCTCTCCCTCTCCGTAGTTGATGTAAGTCGCCATGACTTCCTAGGCAGCGGGTTTTTGTTCGCTGACAACTTGCTTCCCATTCCAGGACACATACATACACATACCAAATAATTGAAAACCAAGTAACGCCTGTTGGTCTACCTTCACGGATTTCAACATTTCCAATGCCATTGGGGCATTCTAAACGAAATCGTCAGGTCCTATGGACAAACTTTAGTTGGGGACTCGTGTTCCCCGAAAATCCCTTGGAACCTTCTGATATACTTACGGCTTGCGGGGGGTACAAAGGTGTCGAAGTACATGCTCGCCAAATACCTGGAGCCGGGGTTGGATTCACTCAGGGTTTGTCCCTTATTAAAACCTTTCGCCGATTCCTTCGGTAAACTAGGTCCTCCAGTAGAGAGGTTAGAATAAGGGTGCCCTTTTTTCTGTAGTCTATTTTAGTAGGGGAACCCTCCCCAAAAAACTACTGGGGGACCTAGTAAAGCAACCATATTTCCGTTGCTCCTTGCCCATCCAAACAGGAACCGCAACCAATGGCCCCTAAGCAAGCCGCAAAACAGCCCTTTACTGTGGGCACCCAGTGTTTCCAGTTGCCACTATAAGTAGCCAACCGTGTTTCCTGCAAATATCTTCATGATTTACAACATGTTTCCCCCCCGGGTTGCCTACTACAGTGGTACCTGAAAGCAGACGGGCAGCGGGCCGTTGAACGCGTCACAAGCATGGCAGCTTCCTACACATGCCAACGGCCTTGTGTGACAAGCACGATGGCGAACCAATATGGGTGTCTTTTTTGAGGGCAACCCGTTTTTGTGGGGTCTGGCTGCGACCCATCATCTTGACTAAAAATAATCAATCGAAGCTAGCAAGCGTCTTCCATCCAAGCCCTTCTGTTCTTATCATAGTCCTTCCATGACATCCGACTCTTCCATGCCATTCTGGGTGTCCTGAAACAAATGTATAGTTGATCATGCACCAGCGCACGGCCTGGACTTCTCACCAAAAAAAAAACATACAGGGTGTACTTTGCCACCAAAAACTAAACTCCAGAGTGGATCGACCAACAAGAAGACTGAACAAACTGCGTTTCTCACCAACATGGTCTCGGTTGTTTTCTGCTCCCCTGCTAAAAGTTTAGTGGGTTAATACGGAAAACCCATCAGTTGGCAAACAGTTATTCAGTCCTAACATCCCTTGGCAAAATGCACCAACCTGGTCTTCCCCAAACACGTGGAAAGTCCAGAACCTCGGCAAGTGAGACTTTCCTGCCCCGGGACCTCGGAAATAACAGGTGAACCCTTTGGGAACCTGGACTAAACAATGAAAAGGTTGAAAAGGTCCAAAGGATGAAGGTCCTTGTAAGGTTCAAGGTTGAAAAGGTTGAAAAGGATGAAAAGGTTTTGGGAACCTTGACTAAACATGGAAATATCTTTGAACCAAAAGGATGAACAGGTCACTTTGCTTCAGGCAAGTGACTAGGTCTTCCAGTAGAGAGGTTAGAAGAAGGGTACAAACTTTTTCTCTGCGCGCCTATTTTAGTAGGGGAACCCTCCCAACCAAAAAAGGGGGCAGAGAAGGGCACCTAGCTGGGGGACCTAGTTGGATGTACCAACTTAGTACTTGGGTGTTCCATGGTTGACGCTGGAAGGGGAGCAACAAATTATTTCTTAGCAGCTCAGTGGGGATTTTTGTTTATGTCAATTTGCTTCAGGCAGGTGAGGGGACCTAGAAGGGCAAGTGGGTGTGGGTCAAAGTTAAACCACCAGGAATTGGACCACAGGTTTGTTGCCACTTCCCGGGAAAGCCATGCTGGGGTTCCCCTATTTTTGACCCACAGCCACATGGGTCCCCTCCAAAAAAAGTCTGGAGAACAGACCCACCCGACCCTGAAGCCTACGCAGGGCCTGATATGTCCACTCTACTTTTGGCCCCTTACTACCGAGGAAAAAACAAAAAAACTCCGCTCAAGTGCGGAAACAACAACCTTTAACTTTGGTGAGCCCATCGGTCGAGGCGCTGGCTTCGTGCGTGCCCGGCTCGTGCAGCTTGAGCCCGCGATGGAATCGGACGTGACGAGACCAGAGGAGTGGGGTGGATCCTACTCAAAGGGGCCATCGATTTGGTACGTCAGGGAAGTGGCTAGAACACCTGGGTGTAAGGGTACTTGGTGAGTAAGTGGCTAGAAAACCTGGGTGTAACCCACAAAAGCCATGGTGAGAATGTCTCTGTTAAGTGGATTATTCTTGCCAGGCTTACCAACCACTTACATGACGTACCTGATCGCCTCTTTAAGCAGGGGGTCCTTCCCATGCTCCAAATATGTCTCTGCTAGAAACCGAGGGACAGGGGGCATGAAACACCGGATCCCCATGAAATGCATCACTTCACTAGATTGACCACCCCTGATGTGTATGGCCCGAGAAACTCCGGATTGCCCTCCCTCGCACGAGCCAGGCACCTCACAAGAATGAAATCGCGACTGTGCTCGGATTTGCGGGGAGGTATAGGGTAATCCGAAATTGACAGGCGCGCTCTGTGCAAACCCTTTTGACACCCCGCTGATGAGTTGAAGTCGCTCGTCGCGTGTGCGGAAAGGGCGAGACGTGGGCAAAAGGTGGCACACATTTTCTTAAGGTCTACTTCTTAGGGTCCAAGCACCTTGAATTTGACACCTTCTTGGACCCTCTGAAATTTTCATATCGTGACAACCCCTGACATCTAGATATGTTAAACCAACAAATGACTTGCATGTGTCTCTCCACAGACACAGGCTCCTTCATCAACGGCACATATCTGCCGTGCACATGAGCCAAAGGCGTCCAATAAGCGAACGCCCAGGTCACTTGCCTTTAAAGGACCCAGGACTAAAAGGTTAACCTGCTCTCAAAGGGGCGACCGGGTACGTCATGTGAGTCACAATCAAAACCTGGTACAAAAATGGTGAACCCAGAACCAAGTAAAGATTTAGAAAGGCGGCCACAACTATTTCCGGCTGGGACTGCCCTTCACTAACCTTCATCTACCCGGGTTTTGATTGTGGCTCATGTATGTGGTTAGCAAGCCTGGGGACATAACCCACCGAACGGAGACTTACCCACTTACTAAGTATCCTGCCCCTTTAAGCTGAAGCCATGACTAAAAAAGGTTGCCAAAAAGGCCAAGCCGAGCTGGGTGTGCTGCTTTTCGCCTGGCAGCAAGGACCTTCAAGGTCTGCTGAAAAGCGATGGCAACTGATCCGGGTTGGGCGGAGTGAGACTTCGACATGTCTTGCCTACTTGTGACCCTCCTTGAGGTTCAAGCACCTAAGGAAATAGGCCTTCCCACTTCTCACTGACGCAAAAAACCAAGCAAAAAAAGGGTCCACCATTCTGGGGCCACTAAAATGGTTGCCAAGATGGCAAATGCAAAAGGTAAAAAGGTCGGCCTAATTGAAACTTTTGCAACCCAAGTGGATCCTTAGGTACTCGGACCTGTCCCTGACATGATGTCTACGTCGCATCTTGCCCAAACCCTGCGGATATACAAGGAAGCTCACGCAGGTTCAGGAAAACACCCATCTATAGACATTGCCGCAACACTGATCAACATGGGTGCTTTAAATAGGGGACCGCAAAATTGGTGGTGTTCCCTTTGCTTTCCGTTTAAGCAACCACAAAAAGCGCAAACGACGCAAAACAAACACCCACATGGTCAAAACCTTGCCTGGAAGTTGCCATTCCAGCTGCATAAGGCAAACAAAACAAAAACTTACAGGTGCGTCTCTGCCCCGCTCGAAGAAATAAGCACCGATATCCTGTGATAGCTTCCCTTTAAAACCAACAGGGGAAGCAAATGGAAGCAAAGCAGGACATGCCTTCTAAGGTCTGGGTGAGCTTCCTAAAGTCTCTTCCGCGAGCAACCCGGATAGTGCCGACCCCTGATGAATTAACTCCCCAGTATGGATCGGGGGGTCGCCCCGTAGGAGCAGAGCGTCCACTGAAAAGGGACGCCCTCGAATACTGTGGATAGACAAAATCCAAATCGCACCACCTGAGGGTACCAACCAACACTGGTTTCCCATGGTTTCAAAGTGGTGCGAACGTGGCTGGTACTTGCGGTACTTAGTGGGTAAGACTCATGGTCACCCACTTTTTATGGAGGGAGGTTCATCAGGGACCCGCGCCGCATGCAAACGCGTGAGCGAAGCCATGCGAAACGCCTCACAGGCCGCCGGTGCCGTAGACGCTGCCAGCCAGTCCAAGTGAGATCGACTCCTCAGCAACCAGATCCGCACGATACGGTGAGCAGAGGGCCCAACTTGGGTAGGTCCTCCAGTGGAGAGGTTAGAATAAGGGTACCCTTTTTCTGTAGTCAACTTTAGTACCCGGTAAAAGCGCACTACTGGGGGACCTGATTGGATGGACAAACTTAGTACTTGGGTGCTCCATGGTTGACGTTGGAAGGGGAGCAAAAATGTAAGTTTTAGCAGTTTGGGGATTTCAACCACTAAGCCACAATAAGCACACATGTAAAATGTTTCCCAACCACAACCCGCACTCGGTTTTGGGCGCTGCTCAACCTGGGCGCTGCTCAACCTAGGGAGTGGAGCGCCCAAATGCAGACCAGGCGCTGCTTCCGGAGATGAGTATCCTTGTGCCTTGCAGCGAATTGACGCAGCCGTTCGGGTGCGGCGAATCGGAAGGTGCCAGAATTGGGGTGTCTTTTGTGATGGTACCTGAAGTCTGTATTGACCCTTTGGAGAATTAGGCCCTCAACGGCCAAGTCTTGAGACCCCCAACACATCCTTTCGTCCATTGAAAGTGCCAGGAGCCTCTGGGCCATGTTCAAAGGGTCATGGCAGGTAGCCTTTTGAAAATGCTTTGCAGGGAACGAGAAAACCACAAGTTGAGGGTCTCCAATTGTAGGACGGTCTTCGCCACTTGGAGCGTTCTCATGAGATTCGCATTTTGAAGCTTCCAGCCAGGGGTTCCCGAGGGCCAACAAGGGTCTCTCACTTTCTCAATCCGACGGCGTGCCAAATCGCGGCGTTTTGGCTGAACGCCAACCGAAGGCTGGACTCATGGATGTTCATATTTGTGTTGGTGGTTTTAAACGGAAACCAAAACTGGGCCGCCCTCAGATCCCTCACTACAAGTTCAACTTTTAGTGGGTTAAATTCGGAAACTACCACTAAACACTAAAAAGATCTGAAAGGCTAAGGAACCGCATGGCTGGGAGCCACCAAGAAAAGGAACAGCCTCTATACGGCTTCCCCGTTGGCGAACCGCTTCGCCGTGGTCCCCTGATGAACTCCCTCCCTCGCTCAGAGTCCGGCGGGTTCCGCCTTCGGGCGCAAGCCTCGAGACGCCGAGTGTGCGAGCTCCGAGCAGAAATCAGCTTTGGTGCGAAGCGACGCGTCGGGGCACATGCGGGAGGGTATGCTTTGGAGTTAGGGCTTGCCCCTATCAAGAAATTGCATGCCCACAACTCTTGGTAACTTACCCACACAAATTGTGTGGTAAATTGGAGGCAAATGGGTGGCAAAGAGTGACTGCTACAGGCCAGGCTTAATTTCGGAGGATCCCTGGAGTACCCTTCTGACCATTCAAACGTGGAGTCACATACCCAAAGCAGAAAGTCATGACGCCATGGTTCCAGGGTCTTGGAGACTCCAGCCATATGTTGAGGACGCCCTTTTTGGATGGTAAAGAAATTCAAACTAAAAGGACCCCCCTTCCCCCCCGGGTTTTCAGGTTTCCTCACGTAGAGGAAAACCTTCTTCTTGCTTGTTCTATCGACCCTCCAAAGAAACAAAACACATTGCGCAATGGCACAAACTTCTGAGGCCCTCAGAACCCGGTAAGACCCAAATGGGTGTGTCTGCGTGTTTGTTTTTCGAGGCTACCCCTTTTAAGGCAGCTTTAAAGGGAAACCAAGCGAAACACAACAACATGTGTGGGGTCCCCCTATTTGGCTGTGGGTCAACAATGCGTACCCAAAATGGAACCCTGGTAAATGGAACCAAAGACGAAAACATGCGGTCCCCTGGTGGTTTTATTTTGACCCATACAGTACCCATTTGGACACATCACCAACCGCATGTGACTTCGGTGAAATCGCGCGGGAATGCATTCCCACCTTGCAGCAGCCAGCTGAATCGCCACTTGGCCGCTTCCTGCCTCAGCGAGCTGATCAAAAAAAAAACAAACTTATCTTGGTTGCTGTTAACCCCGCTGCAAAAAGTTTACTTTTTGGGGTTTAGTGGAAGTCCCCTTGATTTCCCAACAGGCTAAAGTCTAAAAATCCAACCCAATAGCAGTCAGCCGTTCCCGCCTTCCCATCCTCCGAAGCAATCTGTGCTTTTAGCAGGATCTTTCCAGGCTCGCTTCCATTCATCCAGCAAACGGTCACAACTGGTCGACTAGCACAAGGGTCCAAGTACCCCTCTTTGGAAGACGCCTCCTCCAATTCGCAGTATAGTAATGTTGGCCCCTCCCAAAGTGATCTGATTCCCCGCATTTCACCCAGAAATGGACACGGGACACCTACTCAGAGTCTCCATGACCCTTTAAACATGGGGTCGCTACCCAAAAGTACGAGGTCATGACCCCTTTTTCTAGAGTCATGGAGACTCCAGGTAGTAACAAACTGGCTGGTTGATTCATCTGGTGTCAACATTCATTGACTCCCGTGGCTCAGCTCGCAGAATGCACTGGATGCACTCCAAGGCCGGGTCGGCAGCCCGGGCAATTGCGCGGTGCCGGCCTAAGGCGGAGTCTGCCAGAGAAGGGTCACGCCGTTTGCTTCAGCCCCCTGAAAAAAATAACAACATTTCCAGTAGTGATAGATTCCCTTTAAAACCAGGAAAGAAAAAAACACCTTCTTAAGCAAATAGAAGTACCAGTATCAGAATGTTCATCGAGTAAATCGCTGATGGTTTTCTGTGGATGGTTCCGAAATCCGCTTGGCACCACGAAATGAAGCAATGGTTGCTGTCTGTTACCCCAAAAAACAGCAGTGACTGAAAACGCGATCGCAACTTGGCTATCTAGGAATGCTTGAAACCATAGCGTTGCTTGGTAAATAAGTTGGGGCGTCTCATCATTCCGTTAGGTGTCTGAAAGGTGGTGCGACATGGATTGCGTGCATCCACAACGGGTCAACATCCAAATCGTACCCCCAGTGAACATCCCAATCCCCACTAAAATAGGTTCTAAAATGGGTGGTGAATTCACCTACCAACCAAAATGGGACCCAAAACGGTTTTGACCACCACAGCCGTATGTCTTTTGTTTGGAGGCTTCCCCTTTTGCGGTTGGTTGGCTTAGTTGACAAAGGACCCGGAAATAAAAGGTGAACCTTTTTGGAACCTCCCTAAGCGTCATGAGCCCTCCAACGCAGAGCCCCGGAGGGCCCAACAACCGCCCAACGACCCTTAGGGCTGGACGAAACATGGACGATAGGGGAAACCAAAGGGTTCAAAGGTCCGCTTTGGGCCAGTGAGTTTGGGAACCGGGAAAAGCCAAGGAAACGAGAGAAAACCTGAGGGTATCCATCCCCTGCTGCTGCTGCTGCTGCTGGAACGCCAGGGATGGCTCACATGTGCAGCGGTCAAATGCATGGCTTTGCAACATGGTGGACTCACGAAATGTTCCGTGTCCATTGCAGGGTCCGCATACGTTGTCCTGTCAATTCCGAGTTGAATTGATTGTTGCTTTTTGGGCTATGGGTGGCTCTCTTGTACTTCTCGTGTCACTATTTCGATGCTGCCCTAAAGAAGAGAAACACATCCCAATGACGCTCCGAGGGCCAAGACAAGCTTATATATACTTATATGAGCATGTGTCAGAACAGGTTGGTCCCCTTTTCAATGGTCTTGAAAGTAAGCCAACAGTTGTGTCGTCAATCGGACGCGCGAAACCTGGTAAACAGCAAATTTGAAGCAAACTAGATTGAATGATCTGCTGGCCCCAGTGGCTGCTGGCAATGATTTGGGCAAACAAGATCGCTGGGAGATGAAAAACAACTCTCCCAAGATCGTGTACCAGGAGATTCCCGCACTTCAGTGTGGGCACTGTGGAGCTAGTAAAAAAGCTGCCCAGATTCTCTCTCAGAATATGGTTGCCAACATGGAGAACCAAAAGGTTAAAAGCTCGGCTTCGAACGACTGAGCATGGCTGGAATCGCCAAAGCCTCCTGAGCCTGCATGGACATCTGGCATTCGGCCGCCCAAGGCGAGTGGCCGGTGAATGTGCGACTTGTCCAGCTGGACCTTCCGCGCGTTGCACGGCCCGAAAAATGGTCCCTCACTTCCGATCGAGTGGACTGGAATTTGCAACCAGGAACTTCTTGTAGACCACCTATAGTCGTCCAGACCCGAAAAACGCGACTCAAGTCTATAACCTGATACTGGGGGGGGGGTCCAGACCCCCAAAAAAATGACTCAAGCTTATAAACTCAGGGGGTGAGTCAGAAAGGGTGTGTTGAGGGTAAAAAAAAAAAAACAAGTTGTGTGGGTCCCCTTTTGTGAGCCAAACCCATATGTGGGTCCCCTTTTTGTGGGTCCCCTTTTGGTGGGTCTCCTTTTTGTGGGTCCCCTTTCTGATACTCTATAACATACACGCCGAGTTTAGCTTAGAACGGATCGAACCGTTTGTAACATAAGAATTGAATACCCATTCCACCACGGAAACCGACCCACAACTACCAAAAAAGCAGCCCGGGCATGCATGATCCAGAAATTCAATGGGCACAAAACCATTCGAACGGCCTGAAACCAGACTTCCATTTGCTCAGTTTTCCTGAAAAACACATTTCCAGTAGTGGTGTCCCTTCAAAACCTAACAGGCGAAACAAACTGAAACGCACATGGAAGCAAACCTTACTAGGGTACCCTTTTTTCTGTCGTCTATTTTAGTAGGGGAACCCTCCCCTACTAAAAAAGAGTAAAAGGGCACTGCTGTAAAGACCTAGGCGGACTATGGCACAACAACTTGCGAACTTGGTAACGAGCACCCCGCTTGGCCAATCGCCTTCCGCCAAGTCCGTCTGCACCGCCCAGCTTTCGCTCTCCATGCGCTTGCGATCGATGGAAGGCTCCGCTTCGGGAGAGAGATCCTCCTGCGAAACGCGCGGCTGGGTTGGGTTGGCCCGAGAGAATCGCGTCCCATCAATAGGGACCCGTACGTAGCGCACCAGTATTTGGGGGCGGGGGGGGGGGGGTTGGGTTGGCAATGTTGCGGACCCCTAGGTTCAACCCCCAATGAAAAGAATGGCCTTGGGGCCCAATTTAGATGAGACTCTTGAATGGTAAACAATGGTTATACAGACCCCCGAGTGGTTGAATGGTGGTTTGAACCCCAAGATAGGGCTGAAGGGAATCCCAAAACCATTTCAAGGCTTGTCCTTGAATGCAGCGGGAGGCTGGGGGCTTGAGCTTTCCTGCGCCCCGCACATGTCCCCTTTTGGCCCAAGGCCCCATTTCACTGACCCAAAAAGGATACCCTTCCTCCAACTAACATGGCACCTGCGGGGAGGTACCTGGAAGATTCATTTCCTTTTCAAGGGAGCCCCTGTCAGTTGCCATGTTAAGCGGGCCCAGTTAGACCAAGTTCCGGTTGTTTGGGCCTTCTACCCCTGCGATGCTTTGGTTTCGCTCAAGGGCCGTAAGGCGCTTAGACCCCCAGTGGGGATCCTCGGCACGCTTAACCCCAGAAGTCAGACGATAGCTTTGCATGTCGACCCCAATGGATGAAATGGAGGGCGCTGTGTCCCAAACGTCCATATGCGTTTTTATCACCTTGGACAAAACTTATGTGGACATGAAAGCCCACCAGCTTCGCTGGCTCTGGTGGTAACTTGGCCTCGTAGTACTTCCTCAGATGGTACTTGGACCCCTGGAGTTTGGTTTGGCAACCTCCTTTCTTTCTTCCGCCCCCCGAACGAGCAAAAGCTCGTGATCGGCCTTAGGTTGAATTCGGACAAGCCAAGTTTCAGCTGTAGCTCCATTAAACAAAAATAAGAAACAAAACTTTGGGGGCCGCCATGGCCTTCTGTAGGTTTCACGGAACAATTGAAGTTGTTTCCATATGGTCCATAAGACCAAAAGGCCGCCATGTCAGGCCAGGCATTTAGAGACGCGGAGAGGGCCGGGCAAATCCCGAAATCTCGCTCCACACCGCCCGTCGCCTCCGAGATGAGGTCCAGGGCCGCCAGCTTCTTCCAATCCCCCACCTACCGCTCCCCCGCCGCCAAAAGGCCGTGCACGGAGCACCCCAGAGACTTTTTCTTATGCGCAAATGAAGGGAATCACGGGGCATGCGGCTAAAAAAAAGAGAAATCACCCGCGATTTGTTGCTGACCATTGCTCTTTGCAGCGTGGGTACATAGATAAATTGAACATCCAAGCCTCCAACATTCAAGAAAAGACCCGGAAACCCAACCGTTACCCATAGGACACAGGAACTTCACCCACCTTCGGGGAACCCACGAAAGTGAACACCAGATCCAGATGTGCGAAAAGTCACAGGCTCAGGAGCGCTCTCAAAGAGCGCAACCATTCGGGTGCTATGAGCCTGTGGGAACCTCCAAGACTCCGTTTCTGTACAACAAGAAATATAAGACCATTCAACAACAGACCAAATGGCTGGGTAAAACATAGGTGCCCCAAATGGCTTGCCCTGGTAAAAACCAGGACACAGGGGCTCAGATCTGCGGTCCATATCCTGGTGGTTTCATTTTGACCCATGACCCCAACTTGGAGCAAAGACCAGAGTCCATGGGACTCCATAGGACCCAAGCGAAGCAAACGGTTTTGGGCCCCTTGGGCACCAGACCAAAATGCTTCGGACCAAACGAGGTGCTCCAGACTTGAGAGCTTAGAATAAGGGGCACCCGGTTCTTCTTATGTTTTTTGTTCCTGTTTTTTTCGGTTCAAGTCTATTTTACCCTCCCAACCAAAAAAGAAACGGTAAAAGGGCACTACTGGGGGACCTAGCAAAGGAACGGGTTCTCAACCAAAGACGCCCCCCATGTCCAGGCGGAACTTCCGCTAACGTCACTCAGGTCTAAGCGCAACTCTCCCGCAACGAGGCGGATTCTCTGCGAAAGGGCGCTATAGCCAGTGAAAAACTCACTGCTAGTCGATCCAGGTGGATTGGCCAACCGTTTTATGAAACCACTAAAATGGGTTCTCCATGTTCAAGGCCCAGAAACAAACCCAAGACCAAACCACAACTTGGAGTCTCCATGACCCTTAAAAAATGGGTCAATCCAAAATGTTGGGTAGTGACCCAATTTTTCAAGGGTCATGGAGGCTCCAGGAAAAGACAGCTGTGGCGAGGAACCCCCACCACTGGCCTCGTTGGCCTGAAACAGCTCCTCTTCCAGTAGGACCTGAAGAAAAACGTGTCTTGGGCCTTTGTCAGTGGTCATGATTTGGACGGTTTCTGGGGGCGTGCCCTCCAAAATGGATGATTCCCCACTAAACCCAGAAAAACCCTTAGAAAAACGAAAAAAAAAAAAAAAAAAAAAAAAAAAAAAAATAAAAATGGGGTTGATTAGTCTGGGGTCATTCTTTGGACGGTGTCTGGGGGTTATCAAAGTCCGAAATGGGGGTTGTTCCCTTTAACCAAAAACCACTTCGGGCGTGACTTTGACCATGGTAGAAGAGTGAGGCCAGTTTGTCCCGATTTGCCCCCAAAGAAATGCCAAAGCTGGCCAGTCCACAGATCCCCAGCGAAAAGTTGAACTGTAATAAGTGAAATGAGCCCCCCCACCAAACCCCAAAAACCTGAAAGTCGAACAAATCCGCTGGGGTTACCACTAAGAACAGCCCTGCGAGCAGCACCAAAACACCCATGTCAGCTGTTTCTACTATGGTTAAAATGGCTTCTATCGGCGATAGAACCACCGAACCAGCGATAGCACAGCAAACTGAAATTGTCCTTTTGGAGGGGTCAGCTGCAACTGTCGCAAAGGGACAATGCCACTTGCGTGGAGTGTCCCAAGAATCAGAAAACAATGATTGTCACATGGACAAAACTAGTCCTAAAGAATATGTACTTGAGGTTCCCTTTAAGGAGGTCAGTCGGTACAGCCATTGGTGACTTGGATTGTGGTTTGGAGATGTGGGTCGCTTCCCTGTTCCCCTCTAGACCCGGGGATCCAATCCCCCAATCGCCAAACATGAATCCCAGCTAGAAACTGGATACCTGAACCTCAGCCGTCTGGGGTGCTCCAAAAGGAAGAGGTTCAGATTCTGTTCCACACTGGACGAAATCCATTTCGCACCACACCAGAAACCATGGAATGATTCGATTCCCATCCACAGTATTGGATTGCTTTACCATGTTTAGTTTGCTTTTTTGGGTCTCTACCCGTGCCACGGCGCGATCATGTCCAGAGTGGTATGCACTGCAGGGTCCACCGCGTGCGCGGCATACCGCAGCTTGGCAATGCTCCTTGGTGCCACGTCGCCATGTGCTAACCTCCCAACATTCTAGGAGTAACTTCCCCATTATTTCCAGAGATCCTTCTTTCTAGAAAACCACAAACAACCTGGGGGAAATGGCTGGTGTTTGAAAAGAACGATGCTGAAAAGAATGGGGAATCAACCTCTAGAATCATGGACCTGATTGCTTCCTTGCTGTTTGTTAAATACGGGGCACCCCATACCAAACTGGGAAACTGGGTGTATAAACGATCTGGACATAATACCAAATGGGATCCTTTGAAAAGAACTCAATTCATGTTGGCGATTTAACACCTAGATGTCTTCCGAAGGGGGTCTGTACACGTCCACGTTTGGGAGAGGTACATTTAAGGCTACCCTCCCCCCCCCACACCATAGAACCCAGAGCATCCTGAGGGAATTGGTCTAAACCAGCGCCAATTCCAAGGATGTTCCACGGAACATCAAATGAAGGGAAACAGTTCATGCACAAAGCCCTGGCGCATTCATACCTGGGATATGTCCTCTTTTGGTGGGAGTCTTACATTTGAGGATTAGTAGGGTGGGCTTGGGGGTTCTGGTTTCTCGCAGGTCCATGCACTTCACATGGCACCCAAGTGTTTCTGTGCGGTCCCTTGGCACCGTGGATGCTGCAAATATCGCAAGTAAATCACCATATTCAACCACACACACACACACTCACTGCCTAAGCGAGTTGGACAGCAAATGATAAGTCACAGCTGATAGAAGCGTCTTCTTCCCGTACTTGCAGTGAGTTGTCATCCACCTTCTGAGTCCCAACAAGCTGGCAAAGTAGATCCTAACGAGGTATCAAGGGACCCTGAGGGGAAACAAATCGGCTGTCGCCCTGGGTGATAAATAAAAACGATCTAGGAGCAAACCTGACCCACCTTTTGGCTTGCTTTTGGGAAACTCTCAAGTATATGTTTCACTTACACCAAGGCCCGAGAAGATCGTTGATTGCCCTCAAGTTACATAAATCCGAAATTTTCCAAAGGCGAGGCAACGACTTCCAATGTTGACCTCAAGTACTTTCGCATGGAACTTGGCCCAGAGAAATGTCAAGCTAAACCAGTTGGCCAACACAAGTGATACAAAGAAACTCATGCCGTTTGGCAACCTCAAACCCTGTTTGTGTTTGTGTGCTTGCGTATGTGGTTTCAGGGGAAGCCAGAAGACAAGAACCCACCATTTGACATCCTCCTATGTCGACGCGTACCCATATCACCATTCTTTGAGCAATGCCAAGCGGAGGTCGATTTAACCCCCTCATTTCGCTTAGTCCCAGCCCAAACTGAGGTGGTCATAGGGGCAAATTTTATTTGCCACAACCCAAAAGGGAAGCGTCGACAATGTTGTTTTTGCTTTGAAATCAAAAAGTCTTTCCTTATATCTAATCGCCACAAAAATGGCCTTCCCAAAAAGCTTGAAGTCCATAAACTGACAAAATGAAGGAATCTGGCACCTCAACAAAAGACACACCTTGCCGCACCGATTTTGGCCACACCAACACCTGGCTTGTCGCAACTTCCTTCCTGCCGCCGAAGTCGCGGCGACTTCTCCTCGCCGACGCGCGGCTTGGGATTCCGCGCGGCGGCGGCGGCGATAAGGTCGTCGGTGGCCAGGCGGATGGAGAAGGGCGTGCGCTTCCGGTCCGGGCGGTCCCCGGTCCTACGCACGTCCATGGGCGGCTCAGGTCGTTTTTGAGGCTCCGTACCTTATGTTTGGTGGATTAAAAAAGGGAACCAAAAGGAAAAGCATCATATTTGGGGGGGGCCTTAAAAAAAAGACACGACCATATGTTCTAATCCAGAAGGGTCCAAAAGCCGAAAGGATGAATTCGCGAAAGAAGCAAACCCAAACTCGTAAATATGGGGTACCAAACCACCCTTTGGGGTTGATGCCATATACCTTTGCTGGAACAGCAGTGGGGAAACCATGTTTAGTGGGAAACCCGCTTGTAGCGAGAAAACCGCTTTGTGTGGCGGTGTCCATTTTCAGCGGGCCCCCAAGCCACCAAAAGAACAAAACCAAAAACAAGAACCTAGAGTCTCCATGACCCTTTAAAAATGGTTGGTCATTACCCAAAATCATGAGGTCATGACCCCTTTTTCTAGGGGTCAGAAGGAGACTCCAGGAAGGAACCAAGAGATGGCTGGATCCGAAACCCATTTTGAGAAACTCCCAAACTGCGGCAAACCATTTGGGTGGAGTCCACTGCCAAAAAAAGCAACAACCAGAAAAAGGGTCCTATATAAATCTCATCCATCGATTCTCCATGTGTTGTTCATGTTTTGCTTCCTTTTTTAGGTCCGGGACCCCTGCAAACCCGGAAAAGGGGGGAATATGGCTGTGGGTCAATACCAATGGTACCATTTTGGGGTAGGTGCACCACCCATTTTAGTCGGGGAACCCTTTTTTCTCACCCTCCAAACCTTTTTTTTCTCAACCCTTCCCTGTTTTTTCAACCCTTCACCCTTTCTATTTTACCCTCCCCCCGTTTTTGTTAACCCTCCCCCCTTCTTTTTTAACCCTCCCCCCTTTCTTTCTGACCCTCCACCTCTTCCTTTTAACCCTCCATTTCTTTTTTGCCAACCCTGTGGCCGAAGCTTGCGGCAACTGCGGTTTAGGGTTGGGTTGGTTTAGGAGTGGTTTTGGATTTAGGGTTGGTTTAGGGTTGGTTCGGACGGGGGGGGGTAGGTGGGTTTAGGGTTGGTTTCGGATGAGGCGGGGTAGGGTTTGTTGAGCAAGTTTCCGGTCGGTTTAAGTTTAAGGCAGGTCTGTGCTGGGTATGTGGTGGGTTTAAAGTTGGATGAGGGTGGGTTTTGGGCTTGGAGAATGGGTCTACAGTGGGTTTATGATTGGTTACGGTTGGTTTAGGATGGGTTTAGGGTTGGTTAAGGGGGGTTTAGAATGGGTTTAGGGTGAGGTCAGGCTTGGGATTAATGTCGGATTTACATGGTGTTAGTTTAGGGTGGGATTAGGGCGTGCGTCGAAAGGCTTCAGGGTGGATTCAGGGTGGATTTCGTGTTGGCTTAGAATCTGTTTGAGGTGGGTTTGGGGTCGGCTTTGGGTGTAGGTAGATTTAGAGCAGGATTTCGGTGGGGTGGTCTGGAGTAGGTCTGTGGTGGCTGTAGGGTTGGCTTAGGGTTGGTGTAGGGTTGGTTCAGGGCGGGTTTACGGTTTTTCTATGTCTAGGGTGGAGTTGGGGTTGCGCTAGGGGAGGCTTGGGGTCGCTCAAGGGTGGCTTAGGGTTGATTTGGGGTGGCTTGATTTCAGGTGGGCTTAGGGTATTTAAGGGTATGTTGTTCGTTTGTTTTGGGTTGGATGTAGGTTGGTGCAGGGTTGGTCTGGGATGGTTTAGGGTGGGGCTTGGGGTTGGTTTAGGCTTGGATGTGGATTGGTTTTGCGGCTGGCCTAGGGTTGGCTTCACTGGATTTAGGGTTGGGTCAAGCTCAGCTTAGAGTCTCAGGGTGCGCTTAGAGTTGGATCAGGGTGAGTTCATGGTTGGTACAGGGTGGGCTTGTGGTTGGTTTAAGGTTGCTTTGGAGTGGCTCAGGGTTGGTTAGGCTTGGTGTCGGGCGGCCTAGGTTGGTTTGAGTTTAGTGTGGGTTTAGCGTTGTTAGGGTGGGGATTTAGGTTGTTTTTGGGTGAGTTTAGGGTGGGGGTAGGGTTGGTTTAGGGTTGGTTTTTGCTGGGCTTGATTTAAGGTTGGTTTTCGGGGTGGTTCGTGATTGGTTAAAGCTGGGTTTAGAGTGGGTTTAGGATTGGGTTAGGATTGGCTTAGGGTCGTTTTCGGGTTGAGGGTTGGTTTTGGGTCGGTGGGTCTGTTCAGGGTTGGTGTAGGTTGGGCTTAGGGTTGCTTTACGGCTAGATTAGGTGGGGTTTAGGCGGGTTTAGGGTGGGTTTATTGTTGGCTTAGGCTAAGCTTAAGGTGTGGGGTGGGATTACAAGGTTCGGGTGGGTTTAGAGTTCGTGTAGGGTGGGTTTAGGGTGGGTGCAGGACTGGCTTGTTGGTTTAGGGTTGGTTTAGTTTGTTGATTTAGGGTTGGTTTAGGGTCGGTTTGGGATTGGTTAGGGGTGGGTTATGTATGCTTTAGGGGGGTTTCGAGTAGGTCTGTGTGGTGTAGGGTGGGTGTAGCTTGGCTTGCGGTGGGTTTAGGGTTGGACAAAAGACGTTTCTGGTTTGCTTAGGGCTCGTTTAGGGGGTGCTGTGTAGTGTGGGTTTGGGGTGGGTTTGGGGCGGGTTTGGGCGTGTTTGGCTGGTTTGAGATTGACTTAGAGATACTGAGGGTTGGCAAGGGTTTGGCTTAGGGCGGGCCTAGGGTTGGTTTGGGTTGGGTTGGGTGCGGGGCGGGCTTAGGTTGTTTTAGGTGTAGGGTGAGAAAAACAAGGTTGCGGGGTGAAACAAGCAAGCTCGCGGGTGAAAAAAACAAGGCGGAGGGTGAACAAAAACAAGGCAAAGGGTGAACAAAAACAAGGTGAGGGGTTGAAAAGAAAGGATTTCTCAGGGTTGGAGAAACAAGGTTCCCGCCGACAGTTCCCAGGCAGGGTTTGAGGGTTGAAAAAAAGGAAGGGTTAAAAAAACAAGTTCGGAGGGTGAAAAAAAAGGGAGCCCATTTTAGTCTACTCTAATGGGGATTGGGATGTTCACTGGGGGTACGATTTGGGTGTGGCTCAAAATTAAACAGGAGGAGTTAAGCAGGTTTTGGTCCATGTTTCCACTTACCAGGGTTCCATTTTGGTACCGGTTTTTTGAGCCACAGCCATTTGGGTTTTGACCCACAGCCGAATATGAAAACTTCCCGTTGCCAGCGAGCTGCACCGGGCCGCCCACAAAGGCAAAGGTCAGCACTCGGACTTGCCCGCCGCCCAGGCAGATCCTGAGAAAGAGGCGTTCGCGGTTTCTTCCATTTGCGAGTACCCCCCCTTAAAAAAAATATTAAAAAAAATAATATTCGGGTCATAAGGAGGTTGACATCCATTTGCTTAAGTCCCCTGGAAAAAAACTGAAAGCATTTCCAGTATAGTGATTGATTCGTTTTAAAACAGGGGAACATGAAACATATTCTTAAACAAATGGAAGTTTGCAGTGGAAAAACTGGCACTGGAGACGTCTGCCTGGAGTCTCCTTCTGACTTCTAGAAAAAGGGGTCATCACCTCATAATTTTGGGTAATGACCAACCATTTCTTAACGGTTCAGAAGGAGACTCTAGGTGGACCCGCCTGTTTTTGTTTTTTCGTTTTTTTTCTGCGTGGGGAACCGAAGAGGGGGGAGTGAAGGCCTGAAACGGCCGGTTTCAGGGGAAACGAACTGGAGCCTGGACCCTTTGGGGCGGGACTCGCTTGGCCCAATGTCTTGCTGGTTCGCAGGGTCGTTGAGCGGAATGACCCGCTTTGTCAACCATCCGCTGTGGTTTCCAACAAGGGAATCCCTTCCCAGCGGTTTTTCCAAGACCCGGAAGGTCATTGGCACAAAACAGCCGAGCTTGTCATTTACTACTAAAATGGTCTTCCCAAACAGTTTAACGTCCAGGCAATCAGGAAGCGAGCTAGCGGAAAGTTGACAGGGACCATCATGGACACAGAGCTGTGCAAAAGCAAACAAGCTGAGTGGAGTCTGGCCATAGCAGGAAGGAAGCTTCCCAAAAATGCATCCACAGCGCAAGCGGATCTGTAGTATCTCATACACCTACGCGGGTCCAAGCCCCACCTTAAGGGGCCTTCGGCTGAGAAGATGGGAGGTGGGACTTGGCCCTGTGGGAAAAAGTGTAGGTGGCCCCCCTACTTGGGTCTTAACCTAAGTTAGGTGAACGTAAGTTCATAACCTAAGCTAAACCCTCGTTTCCCTAAAAGTACAAACTGGTGCAACAAAACACGGAATGCTTGAACCAGGTTCCCCCGTTTCCCTAAAAATACCAACTGGTCCAACAAAACACGGAATGCTTGAACCAGGTTCCCCCGTTTCCCTAAAAGTACAAACTGGTCCAACAAAACACGGAATGCTTGAACCATGTTTTGACCGAACCCCGCTGGCTTTTTGGGGAGCTTCGGCACCCCTCCTCCTTGTCGTTTTTTCGAGGACACCCGCCTTTTTGGTTGGCTTTGCACAGGGAAACCAAAAGCGGACAACCCCCCCCCCCCCCATTTTGGGGCACCCAGATGTAGCGTTCTGAGGATTTAGCGCACTGTCCAGAGTAGAATGTAAACCGTGAGGTTCAACCATTGACCCCATTCAGCTGATGAACCTCCCTAGGTCAACAATGGTGGCAGTACTTGAATTCAAGGGTAAACAAGCAAGTTTTGCTTGGCAGACAATTAAAAAAAGAGAAGGGGACCCAGGTAAAGGCATCGGCACCTCGATTGCCCAAGGCTCTCCAAAGGAGAAGGCGCTGATAAAAGGCATTGCTGAAAATGGTAGGGGAGCAATAGTGGGACATCACTACCTGGGGTCTCCATGACCCTTGAAAAATGGTTGGTCATTACCCAAAATGTTGGGGTCATTGACCCATTTTAAAGGGTCATGGAGACTCCAGGTACAACAATTGACAGGGGAAAACACTACCATCTTACATAAGGATTTAGGACAATGGATGATGCTGTTTGACTTTAAACCCAGGCACGCTGAATTGGACCACACTAAAACCAGCGCAGTCCCATGTTCAATCGAATGGATTTGGTTCCGGTTCCTCGCTACCTGCTCATACATATTAGGAAGCCAAGAACCGGGTGGCCCCCTTCCACAGCCATGTGTTTCCAACCAGACTAGGGCCTAAGTGCATCAGGGTTTGTTTGTACCTCGTATTCACCTTGTTTTGGGCTTGGTTCTGTCGGGCAACCACTCAAACACAGATTCAACACAAGTCCGCAACACTAGGTCAATTTGCGTTGGGGCTACCCTGGAATTCAAAACCATCAAAAAATGGCGGTTCTGGCAACCATCTGTGTTTACCGTTCAGCATTGTCATCATCTAAACTGGGTTTGCTTGGGCATTCTTTTAGAGGGAAACCAAGGTCAATATGGGTTCGGGCTACCCTGGGATTGAAAAACCATCCTTAGGCCATTCTTTAAAGGGAAACGGTTGAGCCCTAGCCACCTGCGGACTGACGGAAGTTGCAGGCTGAGCCTCACGAAGGTGGGCTGCAGCAGCGTAGGAGGCAGGCCACACTCCACCACCAGCTGCATCCCCGGGCTGACGGAGATGTTTACTGCACACTCCTCCGCCAGCGTGCGCAGGGCGCCTTGGTCGATCTTCCGCTCCCTCCTTAGCTTCGGTCCACCTGGAGTCTCCTTCTGACCCTTAAAAAATGGGGCAATGACCCCAACATTTTGGGTTTTGACCCCATTTTTCAAGGGTCATGGAGACTTCAGTCCAGCTTCAGTCCACCCAGTGAGTTGGCAAAAGTCCCTCAAGGCCTCAGGTTGGCAAAAGTCCTTCAAGCCCCTCAAGGCCTCATCTTCAATCAGCCATTTCGCCTCCCCAGGTTGGCAAAAGTCTAAAAGTGGTTTAGCACTCAAGCCCACCAAACCCCTACGGTTCAACCCCGAATAAAAAATGACAAGGACCCAATTTGGCTGATGCTTAAGCTCCCTAGAAAAATCAACATATGTTCAGTAGTTATGGGTTCCCTTTGCAACCAACAGGGGAAACTAAACAATTATTAAGCAAATGGAAGCAATCCTTAGGTAAACAATTGTGGCTATATGAACCCAAATTGTTTTAACTGGCACAAGAAAAGTCCTTAGGTAAACAAAGATGGTTATATGAACCCCCAAATTGTTTTAAGTGTTGTTTGAACCACAAGAAAACCGTGTCAACCTTTTTTGCCATTTCGCCGCGCTGCAACTTCTGAAGGTGCTCGGGATCAGGGGTATCATCCTCCTCGTGCATGGAGACACCCAATGTTCCGCGTCTACCTCGGGAGGGGCTCTGGCCCCGTTTGGGCTGGGAGACAAAGACCAGCCCTACGAGTACTACTTGGGTACGTCGTTAGTAGCTACAACCTGCTCATAAGTCACCCAAGTAGAGATAATCCTGCTAGTGGGGTGTATCCCAGGTAGCCTTTTCCACTTACTAGCCTTGGCAACGAAAGTCCAAGTATGGGGAAAGTGACCTGAAGTCGGGTGACCCGTGGATGGGTTCTAACAAATGGGTTCTGGGATACTACACACATGATTGTCCTTTGGCGCAATTCCCTTTCTTAGAACCCTTGCAATAGAACCCGTGAAACCAGTACCCTGCTTGAAGCAACGCACCAACAAAGGTTGGCAAACAAGAGTGAGTCTTGTTTCTAAGAAGCGAACATCTTTAGACATTTGGCCCAAGCCGGCCTGCAAAACAACCACACGCATTGTTTGGTCTTTTTGGTCAACGGGAAAGAGAAAAGGACTCCCGATACTCGGTTGCTTTCTGCTCCCCTGCTACAAGTTGAACTTTTGGTGGTTTAATTCGGAAAACCCACTAGTGGGCAAAAAGTTATTCAGTCCTAACATCCCTGGGCAACATGCAACAAAGGATATTTCCTGAAAACATACCCCCACCAGGCCGTGTTCAAAAACACAAAAACAACTCGAACCCCTGAGTCTGCAACAAGAATCCAACACGTCTGGCGCTGCTCCAAACAACGGGCGTTCGCTGGTCGGCTCGCCTGGCTGTCGGTTGGCCCTTTGTGAGAGGACAACGACTGGTCAAGTAAATTCACAGTGCAACCCAGGTGCTGGATTTCCATCTCTTTCTTTAAATGGGACTCCATGAGTACTGTATATAAATGCGAACATTCCTGGAAAGCTGGGTGGAAAGATTAGGTCTGGCGTTCAAGTTGCCATTTCCCAATTGCCCGAAGTCAATGTCGGCAGAACTCCCCCTTTGCTCTCCCCTCCTCTTCCTCCTGAACGAGTCAACCCATTTTCAGCCCATGGTTGTAAACGCTATAAGCGTTACTAAACCACCCAATCATTTAGGTAGGAATCGGAAGCACCTACTCAGTTGTTCAAAAAAAGGAACCCTTTTTGGGGAAGACCAATTTTAGTGGGCCACCAAAAAAAAGGGGGAAAGAATCGGTGCCACTGAACAACTGAGCCTAGTAAAAACTGCCCCCATTTGGGAAAAAGTGTCTGGCGCTGCAAATCCCACAGTGCAATAACCAACTGAGGCATAAGGCAGCTTCAGGCGAGCAGCACATCAGCGCGGTGGCGGCTCCTTCCTCGTTGAGCCCGAAGCCCTGATCCAGCAGCTCCTTGGAATCAAACGAAAGGAATGGATTCTAGGTCCTCCAGTAGAGAGACTAGAATAAGGGCACCCTATTTTTCCTCTAGTCTATTCTAGTAGGGGGAACCCTCACCAATAAAGGGGAGAGAAGGGCACAACCGGACCAAGGAGTTGAACTGAGAGCCTCCAAGCCTTCAAGCCTTCAAGCCATTCAAGCCGTCATTCACCAAGGAATGAATTGATTTGCTGAGCAAAAGCTTGCACTGGACCTTTGAAATCGGCTGAATAGTCAGTGTCCTACAAATGGATGTTAGGAGGGGAAGAAGCCACTTGCTTCAGGCCCTAAAGGCTGTTAGACCTTTGGAAGGCTGAATGGTAGTCAGTGCCCTGGGTGTTTGCCAGGTGAGTAAGTTGTTAAAAATCTAAGCTGCAACCCGCAAAAATGAGTTGTCCAGGTAGAGTTAACCTTGCTCTTAGCGGGCTATACCGAAGGTGGCAAAAAAGGGAACCAAACCAATCGGGGAACGCCAATCGGAGAACGATGAATCCAATCGGGGAATGACTGTCGGAAATCAATCGTAGAACGTCATGGCGCCAATCGGGGAATGGCCGTGGTCCAATCAGGGATTAATCGTCGACAGGTTTGTTGGCTGTGTCGCTGTTATTCAGGTCTCGCCACGTGAGGCCCAACACGTAGCAGCTCCAACATTATGTTTTTGCAGGCTGCGCTTCTCGTGTCAGCAGCTCACGTCGAACGTGGCTCACGAATTCTGAACATTTCCGCTGCTGCCGCGTGTCGCAAAAAAACTGAGCGCGCTGGCTCTTGAACAACCCACTGCCTGATTTCCAAGTACATCAAGGCTCTATGTTCAAGGGTGTTGGGCAGCTTTCATCGAGAACAGATTAGTCTCAGGCAAGGCCGAACCCAAACTCACACAGCTTGCGTGCTGAAACTACTAACATAATTTACTGCCAAACTAGGGGTTCCTCCTTTGCAACATCAATGCATGGGCTCATCTATTCGACACAGCGGAAAATGCAAGAACAACTGCAGGCTGAAATCCCCCCCCAAGTTCTGCAATGCAGGTTTGTGCACCAAAGCTATGCTACATGATAGTTTGTTTTGGCATTACCTTCAGGATTCCGAACAGCAGTCAGGATTGCTCTGCGCCTGCCGCTGTGCACTGTGCACTGCTTGGCGAATTTTGGCTATCAACTAGCCGCACTGGTGGCGCAAAAGTCAGCTCAATCTTTAATGCTTTCCTGGCCAGACTCACGCAAGCTGTGGAACTGTGAGCTCAATCAAAAGGCAAGCCCATTTCTACGGAGCGAGAAGCTTCAACGCTATATGACGTTCAAAAGGGTATGCAACATGCCCCCGCAAGCTCAACCTAAGACCAGCAAAGTAAAACCCAAGTAAAACAGCTGCCATCACCGTCGACTGCAATGTGTAGAGTCTTCATTGCCGCTTGTGCATATCTACGAGTGCCCACATGCTGCTGACATGTCGGCTCTGCTTCGCCGGTTCCCGAGCCTGCACATCCGGTCCCACAGAACCTGGCGCGGTTAGCTTTGGGCCAACTTCAAAAATCTTTTCGAAGCTGTCGCAACCTCTTGAAATCCACACCAGCTAAGTCCCCCCCAAAACGGTGTTCAACGCCAGACCGTGCACTGCGAAAAGGAAGACTGGGGCGAGACGTGGGCGCGCCTGAATCTTCAAAAGCTGAAAGGCCGAGCTCGCTGAGGATTGCGTCGGCAAGATTCCCGCCAATGCTCTTCGTGCGGCTCCACGCAGTTGATCGGCGACTCTGCACGCGCTGTGCCCCAGGTCTCAGACGCGCGACTGCCCAAGTAAAGATCAAAGTGATGCACAATGCAACAAGAGCACGAAAGACAAATATCACCCATGGACCAGCCGAAGCACGGGACGTTGAAGGTCTCCGCCGGCGTGAGCACCAGGCCCTCGCGCGCGGTGGCGGGAGCCAAAACAGCCCCGAATCGCTGGATGTAGTCTGCCTGCACGCGCTGTAATGCTGCGCTCAGGTTGCGCCAGATTGCTCCCTGGCCTCTTTGTAAACATCGTAGATCCGTCCCAGCACCAGCAACTCATTTGTCTCCGCGTAGGAAGTGGTAGGGCCCTTCATGGTTCAGTGGCTGGCCCCTCCTTCCCTGCGGAGGCCAACTTGCACAGAGCACTATTGCAAAGCATGCGTCGCTCGCGGAGAAACGAGGGGCCAATCGTCTTCTAGTTCTCCAATGTTCGATGAACCACCCAGCAAGTCTCATTTACCCTCACTGCAAAACGCTGCGCCAAACTTGTCTGCACAGGTCGGCTCGGCCAGCGTCCGTCCTGTTTCTGGACAGCATCCCACAGCGCTTTCTTGGCTGACGGCAAGGTTCTCGCCACTTTCTTTCGGGACGCGCTGTCCTTGCTGTCGCTCTGGTCATCTGCCCCCCGCTGACAATGAACGCTGCGCTTGTTTGTGCTATGACCTCTAGCATGGTCAGTTTCACCTTGCACATGCATGCAGGATTCTCTTTGCTAGTCAGCGCTGTCCTGGGCAACCAATGTCCAGAACTCCTCGGCGCAGCTGACTTTCCGGAAAGCAGCGTCGCGCTCCTGCACGTCGAGCTTGAGCTGCCTGTCCACCTGCGCAGCATGAGAGCGCGATGCTGGCAGAGCTTGCAAAGCTCTGCTGACTTTTCATCAGCAGGCGCAGCCAAGTGACATAGGCTGCGCACCGCGCACAGCGCTGCCCGTCAGCAGCGCCGTGCCGGTAGCGCCTCCATGACACATCAGCTGACGTCTCGCGGCACACCAGGCACGTCTTTTCCTCGGAGAGAGGGAAAGTTGCAAAAGTGGAGACGCTTGCTCATGGAAACTCTCTCTTGCGCGTTGCCACAGGTGCGCCTGGCCAGAAGGCTTGTTCGTGTTGTCCACACGCGGAGCCGACTGCGGCAAGTGAGGCGGGGACATGCTTCTGTGGCCTGAACCAGCGATGTGCAACACAATGACACATGGCCTGGAGCCTTGCACTTCTCCCGCAGTACGGGCACCGTCAGCTTCTAAGCATTGAGTTTTGGCTTCAATGCACTCTCCCATGCAATTTCGCAAGCACGCCTGCAGAGCTGACCTCTCCATTGGCATAGATCCCTCGGCCAGAGAGAATTTACGACGTAACAGCAACAAGGACTGCAATGAGAAAAGCTGCATTCCTATCAGAAAGAGAAGCTAAGAAGAGAGAGAACGAGAGAGAGAGAGAGGGAGAGAGCGAGAGAAAGAGAAAAAGAGAGAGAGAGAGAGAGATTGTGAGAAAGCAGGAAGAAGGGGTAGGGAGAGAGAGAGAGAGAGAGAGAGAGAGAGAGAGAGAAAGAGAGTCAGAGAGTCAGAGAGAGAGAGAGAGAGAGAGACAGAGAGACAGAGAGAGAGACAGGAAGTGGCGAAAGAGAAGGGGCTGATGTGATCTAAGGCGGAACAAGCCACAGAAAGAGTGCCGCAGCGTCAGGAACATCAACGTGGGGACAAGCAATTTGTCGCTGATCAGCCTGCTTCCTGTCGTCAGCCGGCTGCGGCGTCGCAACAAGCAGCATTTAGGCGATTGTCTTGGCATCTGGCTTGTGAAATATGGTTGACAGATGATGCACGGAGCACGGAAGGAAAGTTAACCGATTTTTCTAGGAACACTTGCAAACAAGGATGCAAGGACGATGACGAAGACGGAGGAGAATTGACGTAGCAATTGACAGAGGATCAACGCAGCGACGGAGGATCGACGGAGAATTGGCGCAGAGTTGACGGAGGATCGACGGGGAAATGACGCAGAGTTGACGGAGGATTGACGGAGGATTGACGGAGATTTGACGGAGAATTGCCGGAGAATTGACGGAGGATCGACGGAGAATTGACGCAGAGTTGACGGAGAATTGACGGAGCGTTGAAGGAGAATCGACGGAGCATTGACGGAGGATTGACGGAGAAGTGACACGGATGATTGAAGGGGAAGAGATAGAAAAAATGATGGACCACTGTCCGGGGATATTTAACAAATCGGAGAATTTTCGGGATTTCCCGGACGACAGAGCACTCACGGCCAGCCGGCGGAGAAATGACGGAGAATTGACGCCGAAGCGACGGAGAATTGACGGAGTATTGACGGATTGACGGAGGATTGACGGCAAAGTGACGGAGATTTGACGGAGAATTGCCGGAGAATTGACGGAGGATCGACGGAGAATTGACGCCCGGGGATATTGAAAAAATCGGAGAATTTTCTGGATTTCCCGGACTACGGTGCACTCACGGTCAGCCGGCGGAGAAATGACGGACAATTGACGCAGAAGCGACGGAGAATTGACGGAGGATTGACGGATGGACGGAGGATTGACGGAGGACTGACGGCAAAGTGACGCAGATTTGACGGAGAATTGCCGGAGAATTGACGGAGGATCGACGCAGAACTGACGCCCGGGGATATTGAAAAATTCAGAGAATTTTCGGGAATTCCCGGACTACGGAGCACTCACGGTCAGCCGGCGGAGGAATGACGGCAAAGTGACGGAGATTTGACGGAGAATTGCCGGAGAGTTGACGGAGGATCGACGGAGAATGGACGCAGAGTTGACGGAGAATTGACGGAGCGTTGACGGAGAATCGACGGAGCATTGGAGGATTGACGGAAAACTGACGGAGAATTGACGGAGAGTTGACGGAGAAGTGACACGGATGATTGAAGGGGAAGAGATAGAAAAAATGATGGACCACTGTCCGGGGATATTGAAAAAATCAGAGAATTTTCGGGATTTCCCGGACTACGGAGCACTCACGGTCAGCCGGCGGAGAATTGACGGAGGATTGACGGATTGACAGAGGATTGACGGAGGATCGACGGCAAAGCGACGGAGGTTTGACGGAGAATTGCCGGAGAATTGACGGAGGATCGACGCAGAATTGACGCCCGGGGATATTGAAAAATTCGGAGAATTTTCGGGATTTCCCGGACTACGGAGCACTCGCGGTCAGCCGGCGGA